AATCGAGTCTGGACCAGACAATCCAGTGATCAACAGCATGAGCATCGATCTGCGCATTTGGGAACCGATGACATGTGTCAACCAAGCCAGGGAGCCTGACCACCCGATCCCGTTAGTCGCTTCTTACGACAAGCATGGGTAACTGAAGGTACATTTTAACCCGGACCTTCACGGGTGTCAGCTGGCAGGAACCTTCAACTGCAAACAGGCCAGACCCAGGATCAGGAAGACGGTTACATACGGCAGATCCACCTCCAGAACAGATTCCTGACGGCAACGTCAACAGCGGCGACAGCACTAGGACACGCCACCAGCAGACCAACAGTCCACGACTTGGTATGGCTGATATACAAGCCTACTGCCCCTTTCGTGGAATGGCCTTGACCCATCCACACCATCTACGCAGACTGCAATGGGCACGAACTGCGCGTTGGTGGCAGCGACGTGACAGGGAGGGAATGTTCTTTACAGATGAAAGTATGTTCAGTCTGTTCAAAAACTATGGCAGAGTCAGAGGTATTTTTTTGCCTAGAGGAGAGCAACTGGCACCTAACTGCGTTCAAGAAGTTCATCCGTTCGATGGAGGGGGCGTCATGGTATGGGGCAGCATTTGTGGCCAGAGAACAAGACTGGTTATCATCTGCCGACCGATGTGGAGACGTGTGTTGCTGTGTATGGATGCCCAGGGTGGTCACACTCTCTATTGATGACATGTCCCCTGACTCCCCGTCTCACAATGTGACTCTTTATGCTCTTTTGGAACGAACACTTGTTTGTGCATTTTTTATTTTGATCCCTTGACTCTTTCTTAGCGAATTGCGGCAAATGCAAGACCAGCATTACACTGAATTTGCAGTCAAATTATTGAAAACATGACTACTGTTTGTAAAATAATTACCATAAATCACACGGAGGCTATGTCTTTGTTTCTGTTCTTTGGTCAAGTGAAGTCGGTGGTAACTTTCTTTTGCCCGGCAGTTTATGTTAGTGTTTAGTTTGTGTAACCAGTAAACATGGACTCCTCCTCGGTAGTGGTCATGGGCTTGGACAGATCTATTTACAAGCAAAAGTCCCATCATGTCCCGAATTCTAGAGTCGTACAATGGGCAAAACAGTCGTCATTAAATCACATATAGCAGTGTAAGCAATCCAGCGTTTAACAGAGGAACAGGATCTATTTTGTTGACAGAGTCCCGGCATCAGTTGGAGCCCGGCGTGTGATTGAGACCTGCAGGAGGGCGAGTAAATGTGGCTTGTGGGTGGCTTGATGTGGCTTCATTTCCTCATGGAAATTACAATTACGCGTGAAACATTGTATTTCATGAGGAAATACCACTCAGACCACATACACAACACAATGGTAATATCCCACTTGATAATTACTGTGGCATTTGGTATCCTGTTGAAGTGATACTACTTTCAAATAATTATGTTCTGCATTTATAGTTTACTGTTTTTAAGGGATGCAATTTTTATCCTACATGGGATTGATGGTATCCTGAAGGGAGTGTTTTTTGAATCTTGGATAACTTTACTCTGTTGAGAGCAGGAGCAGGTCACTAGAGGGAGATTCCAATATATATATGAAAATGTTCTACCCAATTACCTGAACTTAACACTAAAATTAGCTAAAATGTGTGTGTGTGTGTGTGTGTGTGTGTGTGTGTGTGTGTGTGTGTGTGTGTGTGTGTGTGTGTGTGTGTGTGTGTGTGTGTGTGTGTGTGTGTGTGTGTGTGTGTTTGTGTGTGTGTGTGTGTGTGTGTGTGTGTGTGTGTGTGTGTGTGTGTGTGTGTGTGTGTGTGTGTGTGTGTGTGTGTGTGTGTGTGTGTGTGTTGTGTGTGTGTGTGTGTGTGTTGTGTTTTTGTCGTGGTGACACAATCAGAGCGATCATATTGCGAATGGCCGATAACAGTTCTTTTGGCAACCGAGGACCCGTGAAGGTCCGGCTTGGAATGAACCTTCAGTAACCCATGCTTGTCCAGCCAAAAATGACTGCAGTATGCGAGCCTAGTTCGACAATGATGTCAACTGGACTTCTATAGCCAGCTTACCCGTGAAAGTCCGGGTTAGAATATTGACCTTCAGTAACCCCTGTTTGTAGTAAGAGGCGTCTAACGGGATCAGGTGGTCAGGCTCGCTGGCCTGGTTGGCACATGTCATCGGTTCTCAATTGTGCAGATCGATGCTCTTCCTGCTGAACACTCACTCACCATAGCCATCTATTTCACTTTTCTTGAGAAGATGAACGTTTGAAGTTGTCCAAACATGTCGCCGGAGCATATCTAACAGCTAACAGCAGGGATAATTTGAACATTTAGTTTGACCTGGAAGTACAAAATATGTCATAGCCATTTCAAGGACTTCAGGAAAACACGATATTTCATTCATATTTTCCAGATTTCCATGCGGAGTAAAACTAAACTCATTCAGTCACTCACTCACTTGGCAGGTGAGGGATCGCTTCCAGCACGTTTCAAGCTAAGGCCGTGTCGGGTGGCTTCCCTTGACCCTTTCAATTTCGATGTCAAAAGGATTCATTCTCCGTGGACTTGCAATGCTTGCAATATGTAAAAGTTTTTCAGCAGGCCTGTCGGCCATGGCGATATCTAGCACGGCCTGTCAGTGTCAATATGTTGACGTCGCCATTTTTTGTTGTTATTGTTTCAGAAACAAACGGCTATCCCTCCCATTTTTATTGGGGAACAGTCCATAGTTTTGGAGGAGGTGGTTATGTAGGTTGATGAAAGCAAAAATACATATCCTGAAATCAAACAGAATACGTACATTTTGATATTCTAAATTCCAAGATATGCCGCTTGTTCGCTGAGTGAGTGAGTGAGTTCAGTTTTACGCAGCTTTTGGCAATATTTCAGCAATATCACGGCGGGGGGACACCAGAAATGGGCTTCAAACATTGTGCTCATGTGGGGAATCGAACCCGACGAGCGAACATCTTAACCACTAGGCTACCCCCATGCCGTTTGCTGCAGACTCTGCTGGATCTCCTCTCATCTTGGTGATCTCTTCATCGAACAGGCATTGGCTCGAGGGATGACTTGGCAATCGTCTTCATATTTGTAAGAACCTCTTTTGCCATTTGAACACGGTTCAATGTAGGTGAATACCTACTCATTTAGGTGATATCTGATTGATCAGTATTCACTAAGTTAATGATTAAATAAAAAATCTCATCTTTAAGCCACTAAACAAACACCAATCAGTTGCAAGACCAGGTCGGAGAACATCAAAGGAAAAAAGTTTGTCTCATGTGCATAGTTGAAACCTAAAGGTCTGCGTCGTGTGCAGACACCCATCACCCCACTTGTTCTCTGAAATATTGTTTCTGCTGAAATAACACGTATCGAACTCGACCCTTTGGAGTTTTAAGTCTTGCCCCGAGAACATAAGACTAGTACCCTGCCTCGGCCTCCATGTTGTGAGGCGAGGAGCGCAAGCATTCTAGGTAGGGCTTCCACGGGTACTCGAGTACTCGAGGACGAGTCGGGTTTAGCTTGACTCGAGTCCATTTTCAAGGACTCGAGGACTCGAAAAGGGGAGATAACTCGAATTATTGACGTTGACAGACTGCCTGCCATGTGCTAAGCATGAGCGGCCGTTAACGTCTAATATTAAGATAAGATATAACTTTATTATCCCAGAGGAAATTATTATACATCCAACTGTCTCAATATGAATATGTACACAGTTCACAAAAATATACACAATAATTACATGCTCAAAACGAATGCTATTTACACAATAAAACTGACATGATATAATTCAATTAACCACATAGGTAAAGAGGCTGCATAATTCTAGTTGTAATCACGTGATGGTGATTAAAAAATATGTGTTGTATTCACGAATACTTGATGGTATGAAAGACTGTCGAACTCTGTTTTGAGGAAGGTAATCGACAGCAGCGTCCAGAAGGAAGTAGTTCAAAATGGTGAGATTAAATATGTCAACTATCAAATCTAATTTTAGTTGCCTTTGTGACAATCTGGCGCTCAGAGATAAAGGAATATACTTGAAAGACACCCCAGAAATTTTGCATGCAGTATTAACAATTTTGAAAAGCTTGTTTTTGTTGCAATGAGACAGACCCCCATACCAACATAGAACATTGAATAAAGGTTTGATAAAAACTGTCATTACGGTTTTGTCAATGCCTTGACGATGATAATGTTCAGAATCGAAATTAGGCCAGTACAGTGGCGTCATCTGCGAATTTCACAGTAAACACGTCATATATTGACAAGTAACAGTCATTGGTATACAAAACGAAGAGTACGGATGAAGGAACACAGCCATTTGGTTCTGCAGTAGAGGTTGAGAGAAAAGAAGATTGATAGCCATTTACACTGACATACTGAGTTCTATGTACCCTGAATTCTTTAACCCATCTGATAATGTTTTTATTAACACCTGTATTAAATAGTTTACTCCTCACACGGTGTGGCTGTATGGTATTAGTTGTTACAAATCTGCAGATGAGAGTAAATATTATACATCGTTTGAAATTTCACTTCTTAAAATGATAAGGTAACTATCTTGACAATTGATAGACATGGAGAAAGATAAAAAAATCAAATGTATGGGCGTATCTTGATCTGGATAGAGAAAAGAGAAAAATAACCAAATGCCGCTGGTGCTGCATCTCACTGCGTTTTGCAGGCAGTACAAGAAGTACGATGAAAACAACAAGTGTCAAGTAAACATCCAAATACTGATTCTGACCAATGGGAAATGTTAGTCACATAACGATATGAAGTCGGAATGAAGTAAGTGTTCACTTGTGTGATCGGAACACATGTCATGCAAGTTACGCTATTGTTTGCTTGAAAGGTATGAATTTCGAGTACTCCGGTCCGAGTCGAGTCTCATCCCTCGAGTACTCGAGTCCAAGAAAATGGACTCGTTGAAGCCCTAATTCTAGGGCAGACAAACCAGTCTACCTCGGAATGGGAAAGTCCATCGAACCATATGAACACGAATAATGTAGTGCGATCTACGGATCGAAGGGAGGTAACTGCTTCATCTGCCAGTTGAGAAGAGGACAGCACAATGGGGTGTTCAACTCAAGCCTTGCGCCGATTGGGAACGTATTCACAATCATGGTAGGAAAAAACTGCAAAGAATGCATGTTCCTAATATTGAACTAACGGTCTATTTGATTACATTCAGCTGACTGAACGTAAGGTGCTTGGTTGTCTTCGAGTTTAGTATAGTCGTCCAGCTGACCTGGAGATATGTGGGTCATTCTTTATATCTTAGAAAGTCTTAAATCCTGTTCCTCTGCATTAAAACGTGTACAAACTTTGATAATGATAAAAATTTTGTTTTCAACTTTGTAACAATAACATTTGCAAAATGTGATTAACATGTAGTAAGTCATAGCACAATGTATCTTTTTAAAACAGAGAACAGTAGCATGTTCTCCATACTGCGCAGAAACTTCTACATCAGAATTCATTAAAAATACAGTTGCAGTGTATAATTATATAAATCGTATCAAATTATATATTAGACAGACAAACAGTTTATTCAGTATTTAAAGGCCTTCATTACAAAATTATAAATATTTTGAAAATAAATCTGTTGACCCAAAGTTGATGTCCTAAAATAACCAAAATATAGCTAGATGACAGGTGCCATCTTGTTTATGACCCAAATGTTCATTTCGTTGAATGACCATTGGATTGGACTATGCATTGAGTCAGCAGTCCAGCCAAAAATGACTGCAGTATGCGAGCCTAGTTCGACAATGATGTCAACTGGACTTCTATAGCCAGCTTACCCGTGAAAGTCCGGGTTAGAATATTGACCTTCAGTAACCCCTGTTTGTAGTAAGAGGCGACTAACGGGATCAGGTGGTCAGGCTCGCTGACTTGGTTGACACATGTCATCGGTTCCCAATTGCACAGATCGATGCTCTTCCTGCTGAACACTGGATTGTCTGGTCCAGACTCAATTATTTACATACCGCCGCCATATAGCTGGAATATTGCTGAATGCGGAGTAAAACTAAACTTACTCACTCACTCACCATAGCCATCTATCTCACTTTTCTTGAGAAGATGAACGTTTGAAGTTGTCCAAACATGTCGCCGGAGTCTAACAGCTAACAGCAGGGATAATTTGAACATTTAGTTTGACCTGGAAGTACAAAATATGTCATAGCCATTTCAAGGACTTCAGGAAAACACGATATTTCATTCATATTTTCCAGATTTCCATGGAAAACTGGATAGAAAACGACCGCGAGAGTGTTTTGTGGACAACACTGCTAGATTTTACATTTGAAACCTTATGTTTTGCTTTGGTGGTCAAATTCAGTTCGACAATGTAAAACCTCAAAGAGAAAAATGGCTTGTTTTTTTTTAAATTTGTACGAATATTTAGGAGATGAACATACTGTCTTCGAAAAATAGAGGTATATAACGAAGTCTTTTAGCTCAAAATTTGATTTAAAACCGAACGCGTAGCATAACTGCGTCATTAAAATCTTAATAAAATAAACTGACGTACAAAAGAAAGTACACATCTGATGCTTTGGTAAAATGTTTTCCTAATAACAGCGTAATATTTAGACAAGTGTTTTGATTGTGACTCACAGTTCACAACATTGTGTACGTGTTGCAATAACACCATAGATATCGTACCCAATTGGAACATTGCTAGCAAAATATTCACTTTTTTAAATAGTCCCAAAACAGCAGGTGTGCACATGGGAGCTGAGAGTGAGTGAGTGAGTTAGTTTAGTTTTACGCAGCACTCAACAGTAATCCAGCTATATGGCGGCGGTCTGTAAATAATGGAGTCTGGACCAGACAATCCAGTTTGTGAACTGTTGGGTTCAGATTGTGTACCTTTGTTTTCACACGACACCGATTAGAATCAAGGACGAGGCTTAATATGCACCACCCACTTTCGGTTTTGCTGTGTGGTATATGAATGGATAAAATATGGATAAACTGCATGGTACGCCTGCTATTTAGAAACTGCTTAACATACTGTTAGTTGTCAATAATGTTTATAACTTAACATGAAAATGTTATGACGTATAGTACAGAATCCAGCAACATTATTTCATTGTTAGTTGTTCAATACATTATTTCATTATCAACTTTCAATATTTTGAAAATGTGCAGTTACAATGTCAAGTCCATTCAACTCTCAAGAAAACTTTAACACGTAACAGTCACATGTCTTTGCTAAAATAATCTACAAGTGAAATGTACGATATAAACCAGTTTTCCTGAAATGTTTCAAGTTAAAACATTGATTACACAGCAGTCTCGTTTCCTGCCCACTGGGTTCCGACCTATTGCGCACCTTAGTACAATAGCCAGTCTAGAAGTTTGAGACCAATTCATTCAACTGGATACATAAATATTAATCAATATTATTTGATACATCTAAGCACTTGTATATTGCAACACTACACTCCTTATAATCCTTGCTAACACTTCGTGCAGCGTGCGCTGTCGTACAGCGAGCTCTGACAAACGGAAATCGTGGAAATCTCAAAACGAGGCTCGGCCGCTAGAAACGTTTGACGGTCTGGTACGGACTTGATATTATATCAATCACATTGTGCCTTACAAAACTACACTAAATAAGCGCAAAAAACACATAACAGGTGTAACCAGTGAGCCAGATGCATTGCGAAACATTTTACGACCTCATCAAACAGGGGCAGTCTGTGACGTCTTAGTTAAGGTCATGCTGCCTACACTTCGCCATAAAATATAGAATTACGATGTTATTAAAGTTTAAAATTAAAATTAACTTACAAATACCATTTTCTTATGAAACAAGAAATGGGAATTCAGTGTAACCATAGTTGTTTGTGGTGTCTCTTTTCACTTTCACACGAGAAACTTCGGATCGGCTGAAAATTATGTCATTGTCTGAATAGGTTAATGAGACTCATGTTTCGGTTTGATCACCTATGAACAATACTGGTTCAATTCGATCCCTGTTCACATCAACATACTGTTTGTGAGTGTTTAAAAATCTAAAACTCAACAACTGTGATCTTTTAGGAATTTTCTGAGATGTAATATGATGCTTAGTGAAGCTTTACACTATTTGTAAGGAATGACCAGTTGCATGAGATGTACCCTTGCTGTACCAGTTGCATGAGATGTACCCTTGCTGTACCAGTTGCATGAGATGTACCCTTGCTGTACCAGCTGCATGAGATGTACCCTTGCTGTACCAGTTGCATGAGATGTACCCTTGCTGTACCAGTTGCATGAGATGTACCCTTGCTGTACCAGAACCACTTACTGGATTAGGCAAAGCTCACAAAAAAGTCTAGTTTTGCCCATCACAGTACTTGTTCACAGGAAACTATAACTTTGATGTAACGACCTATCTAGGGGAACCCATGTAGCAGGTCCTTGGTGAAACCCCTTTCAAAGTCAAGATAAGATACCATAATACTGTATTATCCCGAGGGGAAATTATATAAAACACGTACAGCACAACAAACCATGGAATCACAACATATCACATTTCAACAGCACTAGGATAATAAACCAATAAATAGGTAAGAGCAATAAATGAGTGAAAGAGTAAGATATGACTTAATGCAATGACGAGATAAAAACAGCATTGGTGCAAATGGGTTACATGTAGGTAAGGTGATAAATGAATGAATATGAACATTGACTGTTGTACTGAATACCGGCTAGTACAAAGGAATGACGTAACCTGTTTGTTGTAGCTATCGGCATGCGCAGACGACGACCTGATTGGAGACATTCAAAATTGTAAAATATAATATATGCGCTGTCATGACAATTTTCCTCACTTTTGTTGACAATTTACTGCCGATAGATGTTACTGAATCTGTGCCAATGATTTTGCGTGCTGTGTTAACAGTTTAGTTTTGTTTTGAACAGACAGGTTACCAAACCAACAAAGAAGGTTAAAATTTAAAATACTTTGTAGAAATGTTTTGTGAAACAGTACCATAAGAGAGTCAGTTCAAATATCAATGTATTGAGGATATTTCACGTGTTCAGAGAAGTTTTTCACATCACGGCACGACATTACATCATGTTTCGATAGACAGGTGAAATATTCTATTTATTTATATACTTCTAATTTTTGTCTAATTAAATTTTAACAATATGAATCCCAGAAAGTTGGACTAACGAAGTCCAAATTCTCCCAGTTGTAAACTAAGGACTGTTCATTTCTTTGTTCAGGAACACGGCGCGAAGACATCTAAAACATTGAAATATAAATCGAGACAAAATATTGTATCAATTGCTATTTATCTTTTTGTTTGATGGACACAATCACCACTTTACAATTATAACTCTAGCAATCCTTTTGGTCTTGTCAGCAACTACACAATTTGATGCTGGAGCACGAGTACATACAAGCCACAAACAAATATGGCGCGTCAAGAGAAAGCGTCATTGAGAACAGAAATAAACCAATCACAGAGACAGTAAGCATAAACACAGGTGACCATTGCATAAAAAAAGGTGAAATTAAGTCACGTGTACATAAAATGTCAGTTTTGAATGCTCCCAACTTGTGATTGAAGTGTTCTCGACAGGCGTAAACTCGCCCGAGACACAGAGTCAGGACACGCTATAACCCAGTGCGGGAGAGGCACTCAAAGTCTCACTCGCTCAGATGACTCAGAGATCAGCTGATCAGTGCAAGTATTCTTCGCTGGAGGTTGGTCATCCGAGGCCCGTGCTTGCTGACCAAACGCGTCTGGTGAAGTGCATATGTTTGCATCGCTATTTATTGTGTTGTCTGACAGAATACAGGACACAGCACTTTGTTGAGCCGTGAAGTAGTTTCATTGCAGTGAACATATCAAATAAAATTCAATTACCCAGCTTAGCAAAATCTATTTAGGGAAATGTGTGATCAACTAAAGGCCACTAAGAAAGTAAGTCATACCATAAACACCAACACTGTGCCTAATTCTTGTTATGTTTTGGTACCCATGAAAGTCAAGGGCTGGAATTGGTCTTCAGCAACCCATGCTTGTTGTAAGGGGCGACTGAGGTGGCCAGACTAACTTGGTTGACACATGTCATCGTATCCCAACTGCTTCGATCGATGCTCATGCGGTTGATCACTGGACTGTCCGGTTCAGACCGCCGCCACATAACAGGGATATAGCTGGCGTGACGCGTTAAACAACAAACAAAACAAACATACAAAATATGTTTTTCTCCACAGGTTGAAGGGCCTCCAGCAGGCAGCCAGGAACAGCCATGTCCAGCAACACGGTGGGTTGTCCCATGTTTATATGATGGGTTGTCCTCTGTAGTGCAGGATGGTGGGTTGTGCTCTGTAGTGCAGTATGATGGGCTGTCCTCTGTAGTGCAGTATGGTGGGTTGTCCTCTGTAGTGCAGTATGGTGGGTTGTCCTCTGTAGTGCAGTATGGTGGGTTGTCCTCTGTAGTGCAGTATGGTGGGTTGTCCTCTGTAGTGCAGTATGGTGGGCTGTCCTCTGTAGTGCAGTATGGTGGGCTGTCCTCTGTAGTGGAGTATGGTGAGTTGTCCTCTGTAGTGCAGTATGGTGGGCTGTCCTCTGTAGTGGAGTATGGTGGGCTGTCATCTGTAGTGGAGTGTGGTGGGTTGTCCTCTGTAGTGCAGTATGGTGGGTTGTCCTCTGTAGTGCAGTATGGTGGGTTGTCCTCTGTAGTGCAGTATGGTGGGCTGTCCTCTGTAGTGGAGTATGGTGAGTTGTCCTCTGTAGTGCAGTATGGTGGGCTGTCCTCTGTAGTGGAGTATGGTGGGCTGTCCTCTGTAGTGGAGTATGGTGGGCTGTCCTCTGTAGTGGAGTATGGTGGGTTGTCCTCTGCACTGGAGTATGGTGGTTTATCCTCTGTAGTGGAGTGTGGTGGGTTGTCCTCTGTAGTGGAGTATGGTGGGTTGTCCTCTGTAGTGGAGTATGGTGGGCTGTCCTCTGTAGTGGAGTGTGGTGGGTTGTCCTCTGCAGTGCAGTATGGTGGGTTGTCCTCTGTAGTGCAGGATTGCGGGTTGTGCTCTGTAGTGGAGTATGGTTGGCTGTCCTCTGTAGTGGAGAGTGGTGTGTTGTCCTCTGTAGTGCAGTATGGTGGGCTGTCCTCTGTAGTGGAGTATGGTGGGCTGTCCTCTGTAGTGGAGTGTGGTGGGTTGTCCTCTGTAGTGCAGGATGGTGGGCTGTCCTCTGTAGTGCAGTATGGTGGGCTGTCCTCTGTAGTGCAGGATGGCGGGTTGTGCTCTGTAGTGGAGTATGGTGGGTTGTCCTCTGTAGTGGAGTATGGTGGAATGTCCTCTGTAGTGCAGTATAGTGGGCTGTCTTCTGTAGTGGAGTATGGTGGGCTGTCCTCTGTAGTGGAGTATGGTGGGTTGTCCTCTGTAGTGCAGTATAGTGGGTTATCCTCTGTAGTGCAGTATGGTGGGTTGTCCTCTGTAGTGGAGTATGATGGACTGTCCTCTGTAGTGGAGTGTGGTGTGTTGTCCTCTGTAGTGGAGTGTGGTGTGTTGTCCTCTGTAGTGGAGTATGGTGGGCTGTCCTCTGTAGTGGAGTATGGTGGGTTGTCCCCTGTAGTGCAGTATGGTGGGCTGTCCTGTGTAGTGCAGGATGGTGGGTTGTCCTCAGTAGTGCAGTATGGTGGGTTGTCCTCTGTAGTGCAGGATGGTGGGCGGTCCCTGTGTAGTGCAGGATGGTGGGTTGTCCCTCTGTAGTGCAGTATGGTGGGTTGTCCCTCTGTAGTGCAGTATGGTGGGTTGTCCTCTGTAGTGCAGTATGGTGGGCTGTCCTCTGTAGTGGCAGTATGGTGGGCTGTCCTCTGTAGTGGAGTATGGTGAGTTGTCCTCTGTAGTGCAGTATGGTGGGCTGTCCTCTGTAGTGGAGTATGGTGGGCTGTCATCTGTAGTGGAGTGTGGTGGGTTGCCCTCTGTAGTGCAGTATGGTGGGTTGTCCTCTGTAGTGCAGTATGGTGGGTTGTCCTCTGTAGTGCAGTATGGTGGGCTGTCCTGTGTAGTGGAGTATGGTGAGTTGTCCTCTGTAGTGCAGTATGGTGGGTTGTCCTCTGTAGTGGAGTATGGTGGGCTGTCCTCTGTAGTGGAGTATGGTGGGCTGTCCTCTGTAGTGGAGTATGGTGGGTTGTCCTCTGCACTGGAGTATGGTGGTTTATCCTCTGTAGTGGAGTGTGGTGTGTTGTCCTCTGTAGTGCGGTATGATGGGTTGTCCTCTGTAGTGGAGTATGGTGGGCTGTCCTCTGTAGTGGAGTGTGGTGGGTTGTCCTCTCTGCAGGGGTGGGTGGGTTGTCCTCTGTAGTGCAGGATTGCGGGTTGTGCTCTGTAGTGGAGTATGGTTGGCTGTCCTCTGTAGTGGAGAGTGGTGTGTTGTCCTCTGTAGTGCAGTATGGTGGGCTGTCCTCTGTAGTGGAGTATGGTGGGCTGTCCTCTGTAGTGGAGTGTGTGGGTTGTCCTCTGTAGTGCAGGATGGTGGGTTGTCCTCTGTAGTGCAGTATGGTGGGCTGTCCTCTGTATGAGTGCAGGATGGCGGGTTGTGCTCTGTAGTGGAGTATGGTGGGTTGTCCTCTGTAGTGGAGTATGGTGGGCTGTCCTCTGTAGTGGAGTATGGTGGGCTGTCCTCTGTAGTGCAGTATATTGGGTTGTCCTCTGTAGTGCAGTATGGTGGGTTGTCCTCTGTAGTGCAGTATGGTGGGTTGTCCTCTGTAGTGCAGTATGGTGGGTTGTCCTCTGTAGTGCAGTATGGTGGGTTGTCCTCTGTAGTGCAGTATGGTGGGCTGTCCTCTGTAGTGGAGTATGGTGAGTTGTCCTCTGTAGTGCAGTATGGTGGGCTGTCCTCTGTAGTGGAGTATGGTGGGCTGTCATCTGTAGTGGAGTGTGGTGGGTTGTCCTCTGTAGTGCAGTATGGTGGGTTGTCCCTCTGTAGTGCAGTATGGTGGGTTGTCCTCTGTAGTGCAGTATGGTGGGCTGTCCTCTGTAGTGGTGGAGTATGGTGAGTTGTCCTCTGTAGTGCAGTATGGTGGGCTGTCCTCTGTAGTGGAGTATGGTGGGCTGTCCTCTGTAGTGGAGTATGGTGGCTGTCCTCTGTAGTGGAGTATGGTGGGTTGTCCTCTGCACTGGAGTATGGTGGTTTATCCTCTGTAGTGGAGTGTGGTGGGTTGTCCTCTGTAGTGGAGTATGGTGGGTTGTCCCTCTGTAGTGGAGTTTGGTGGGCTGTCCTCTGTAGTGGAGTGTGGTGGGTTGTCCTCTGCAGTGCAGTATGGTGTGGGTTGTCCCTAGGTAGTGCAGTATGGTGGGTTGTCCTCTGTGTAGTGCAGCATGGTGGGTTGTCCTCTGCACTGGAGTATGGTGGTTTATCCTCTGTGGCCGATGGTCCAGGAGTGTGGTGGGCTTGTCCTCTGTAGTGGAGTATGGTGGGTTGTCCCCTGTAGTGGAGTGTGGTGGGTTGTCCTCTGCAGTGCAGTATGGTGGGTTGTCCTCTGTAGTTCAGGATTGCGGGTTGTGCTCTGTAGTGGAGTATGGTTGGCTGTCCTCTGTAGTGGAGAGTGGTGTGTTGTCCTCTGTAGTGCAGTATGGTGGGCTGTCCTCTGTAGTAGAGTATGGTGGGCTGTCCTCTGTAGTGGAGTGTGGTGGGTTGTCCTCTGTGGTGCAGGATGGTGGGCTGTCCCTCTGTAGCAGTATGGTGGGCTGTCCTCTGTGGTGCAGGATGGCGGGTTGTGCCTCTGTAGTGAGTATGGTGGCTTGTCCTCTGTAGTGGAGTATGGTGGAATGTCCTCTGTAGTGCAGTATAGTGGGCTGTCTTCTGTAGTGGAGTATGGTGGGCTGTCCTCTGTAGTGGAGTATGGTGGGTTGTCCTCTGTAGTGCAGTATAGTGGGTTATCCTCTGTAGTGCAGTATGGTGGGTTGTCCTCTGTAGTGGAGTATGATGGACTGTCCTCTGTAGTGGAGTGTGGTGTGTTGTCCTCTGTAGTGGAGTGTGGTGTGTTGTCCTCTGTAGTGGAGTATGGTGGGCTGTCCTCTGTAGTGGAGTATGGTGGGTTGTCCTCTGTAGTGCAGTATGGTGGGCTGTCCTGTGTAGTGCAGGATGGTGGGTTGTCCTCTGTAGTGCAGTATGGTGGGTTGTCCTCTGTAGTGCAGTATGGTGGGCGGTCCTCTGTAGTGCAGGATGGTGGGTTGTCCTCTGTAGTGCAGTATGGTGGGTTGTCCTCTGTAGTGCAGTATGGTGGGTTGTCCTCTGTAGTGCAGTATGGTGGGTTGTCCTCTGTAGTGCAGTATGGTGGGCTGTCCTCTGTAGTGGAGTATGGTGAGTTGTCCTCTGTAGTGCAGTATGGTGGGCTGTCCTCTGTAGTGGAGTATGGTGGGCTGTCATCTGTAGTGGAGTGTGGTGGGTTGTCCTCTGTAGTGCAGTATGGTGGGTTGTCCTCTGTAGTGCAGTATGGTGGGTTGTCCTCTGTAGTGCAGTATGGTGGGCTGTCCTGTGTAGTGGAGTATGGTGAGTTGTCCCTCTGTAGTGCAGTATGGTGGGTTGTCCTCTGTAGTGGAGTATGGTGGGCTGTCCTCTGTAGTGGAGCATGGTGGGCTGTCCTCCGTAGTGGTAGGCATGGTGGGTTGTCCCTCTGCACTGGAGTATGGGTTTATCCTCTGTAGTGGAGTATGGTGGGTTGTCCTCTGTAGTGCGGTATGATGGGTTGTCCTCTGTAGTGGAGTATGGTGGGCTGTCCTCTGTAGTGGAGTGTGGTGGTTGTCCTCTGCAGTGGAGCATGGTGGGTTGTCCTCTGTGCAGGATTGTGGCGCTACTTTAGTGGAGTATGGTTGGCTGTCCTCTGTAGTGGAGAGTGGTGTGTTGTCCTCTGTAGTGCAGTATGGTGGGCTGTCCTCTGTAGTGGAGTATGGTGGGCTGTCCTCTGTAGTGGAGTGTGGTGGGTTGTCCTCTGTAGTGCAGGATGGTGGGTTGTCCTCTGTAGTGCAGTATGGTGGGCTGTCCTCTGTAGTGCAGGATGGCGGGTTGTGCTCTGTAGTGGAGTATGGTGGGTTGTCCTCTGTAGTGGAGTATGGTGGGCTGTCCTCTGTAGTGGAGTATGGTGGGCTGGCCTCTGTAGTGCAGCATGGTGGGTTGTCCCTCTGTAGTGCAGTATGGTGGGCTGTCCTGTAGTGCAGGATGGTGGGTTGTCCTCTGTAGTGCAGTATGGTGGGTTGTCCTCTGTAGTGCAGTATGGTGGGCGGTCCTGTGTAGTGCAGGATGGTGGGTTGTCCTCTGTAGTGCAGTATGGTGGGTTGTCCTCTGTAGTGCAGTATGGTGGGTTGTCCTCTGTAGTGCAGTATGGTGGGTTGTCCTCTGTAGTGCAGTATGGTGGGCGGTCCTCTGTAGTGCAGGATGGTGGGTTGTCCTCTGTGCAGTGCAGTATGGTGGGCTGTCCTCTGTAGTAGTGCAGTATGGTGGAGTTGTCCTCTGTAGTGCAGTATTGTGGGTGGGTCCCTCTGTAGTGCAGTATGGTGGGTTGTCCTCTGTAGTGTTGTGTTGTGGGTTGTCCTCTGCAGTGCAGTATGGTGGGTTGTCCTCTGTAGTGGAGTGTGGTGGGTTGTCCTCTGTAGTGCAGTATGGTGGGTTGTCCTCTGTAGTGCAGTATGGTGGGTTGTCCTCTGTAGTGCAGTATGGTGGGTTGTCCTCTGTAGTGCAGTATGGTGGGTTGTCCTCTGTAGTGCAGTATGGTGGGTTGTCCTCTGTAGTGGAGTATGGTGGGTTGTCCTCTGTAGTGCAGTATGATGGGTTGACCTCTATAGTGCAGTATGGTGGGTTGTCCTCTGTAGTGGAGTATGTTGGGTTGTCCTCTGTAGTGCAGTATGGTGGGTTGTGCTCTGTAGTGCAGTATGGTGGGTTGTCCTCTGTAGTGCAGTATGATGGGTTGTCCTCTGTAGTGCAGTATGGTGGGTTGTCCTCTGTAGTGGAGTATGTTGGGTTGTCCTCTCTAGTGCAGTATGGTGGGCTGTCCTCATGAGGTATTTCATTGTGTTGATGGGCTGGGTATTGTTCTGGTATTTCATTGTGTTGTTGGTCTGGGTATTGTTCTGGTATTTCATTGTATTGTTGGGTTGGGTATCGTGGAGGTATTTCAGTGTATTGTTGGATTTGGTATTGTTGAGTTATTTCTGTGTATTGTTGGTCTGGGTATTGTTGAGGCATTTCAGTGTATTGTTGGGTTGGGTATTGTTGAGGTATTTCGGTGTATTGTTGGTCTGGGTATTGTTGAGGTATTTCATTGTATGGTTGGGTTGGGTATTGTTCTGGTATTTCATTGTATTGTTGGGTTGGGTATTGTTGTGGTATTTCAGTGTTTTGTTGGGTTGGGTATCGGTGAGATATGACAGTTTTTTTAACCATTCTTTCCTATACAATGCCTCCGACCATTCACTGCTCCTTCAACACTGAGCCTGCCATCAGTGGTGTTATATCTGTTGAAAGCAGTGTTGACTGAGAAGACATCTACTTGTGTTGCAGGCCGACTCAGCACAGCCAGCTCCTCCACACAGAAGGAATATGCCTTTGAGGTGAGTTTGCACAAATGGTGGAGCAACTATATTTATGCTCTAAGGTCACCTCAGTTAACTTTCTGACTGATTTACAGGCCAAGGTCAACTCTGTCCTGTCTGTGTCCCTACATCCATTGGTGGGACAGGCAGACAGACAGACAGACAGACAGACAGACAGAAGTTTATTTCAGAAATAGGCCGACGGCCCAAAATACATATACATAAATTGATGGTTACATGTAATGTATTTCATTACGATTTGTGTTTCTTATGAACATAGTACAAAAACAGAAATATGTCCTTGATGATATTAACCTTTTTACTCTGTAAGATAGATATAGAATTAATAATTGATGAACATTTACTAAAATGTTTTGATATGTACTTCTGTTTTATCTGAGAATATGCATCACAGACATAAAACACATGCCATCCATCTCCAACAACTAAAGTACCATATAATTTACAAAACAGGCAATGGCTTTCATTATATGCAACATTAATGTTTCTAGCAGTTACAACACCGAAATCAGGCACATACATATATTTTAAATATTGACGGATGTCATTATTTACCAAGTCACTAAGCTCTCTACATTTAATAAAGATTTGAACTGTTTATAGTAAAGATCCATGTTTTCTGATTAAATCATATTTTAACACTGCACTCAACATTCAAACTATACGACACAATGACATGCATCAACCAAGTCAGCCAGCATGATCCATCAGTCCAATTTGTATCTTTTAATAAGCAGTGTTTACTAAAGAACAAATCCAAACAGCATGTTGAGAAGTTATCCTGTCACAACATCCTTGTGTTGTAACCTTGATATTACATCCATGTGTTGTGACCTTGACATTACATCTCTGTGTTGTGACCCTGACATTACATCCTTGTGTTGTGACCTTGACATTACATCCTTGTGTTGTGACCCTGACATTACATCCTTGTGTTGTGACCCTGACGTTACATCCATGTGTTGTGACCCTGATATTACATCCCTGTGTTGTGACCCTGACATTACATCCTTGTGTTGTGACCCTGACATTACATCCATGTGTTGTGACCTTGACATTACATCCCTGTGTTGTGACCCTGACATTACATCCCTGTGTTGTGACCCTGACATTACATCCATGTGTTGTGACCCTGACATTACATCCATGTGTTGTGACCCTGACATTACATCCATGTGTTGTGACCCTGACATTACATCCATGTGTTGTGACCCTGACATTACATCCATGTGTTGTGACCCTGACATTACATCCCTGTGTTGTGACCCTGACATTACATCCATGTGTTGTGACCCTGACATTACATCCATGTGTTGTGACCTTGACATTACATCCATGTGTTGTGACCTTGACATTACATCCATGTGTTGTGACCCTGACATTACATCCATGTGTTGTGACCCTGACATTACATCCATGTGTTGTGACCTTGACATTACATCCTTGTGTTGTGACCTTGACATTACATCCATGTGTTGTGACCTTGACATTACATCCCTGTGTTCTGACCTTGACATTACATCTCTGTGTTGTGACCTTGACATTACATCTCTGTGTTGTGACCTTGACATTACATCTCTGTGTTGTGACCTTGACATTACATCTCTGTGTTGTGACCTTGACATTACATCTCTGTGTTGTGACCTTGACATTACATCTCTGTGTTGTGACCCTGACATTACATCCATGTGTTGTGACCCTGACATTACATCCATGTGTTGTGACCCTGACATTACATCCATGTGTTGTGACCTTGACATTACATCCATGTGTTATGACCCTGACATTACATCCATGTGTTGTGGCCCTGACATTACATCCCTGTGTTGTGACCCTGACATTACATCCATGTGTTGTGACCTTGACATTACATCCAAAGTGTTGTGACCTTGACATTACATCCATGTGTTGTGACCTTGACATTACATCCCTGTGTTCTGACCCTTGACATTACATCTCCTGTGTTGTGACCTTGACATTACATCTCTGTGTTGTGACCTTGACATTACATCTCTGTGTTGTGACCTTGACATTACATCTCTGTGTTGTGACCTTGACATTACATCTCTGTGTTGTGACCTTGACATTACATCCCTGTGTTGTGACCCTGACATTAAATCCATGTGTTGTGACCCTGACATTACATCCCTGTGTTGTGACCTTGACATTACATCCCTGTGTTGTGACCCTGACATTACATCCCTGTGTTGTGACCTTGACATTACATCTCTGTGTTGTGACCTTGACATTACATCTCTGTGTTGTGACCTTGACATTACATCTCTGTGTTGTGACCTTGACATTACATCTCTGTGTTGTGACCTTGACATTACATCTCTGTGTTGTGACCTTGACATTACATCCATGTGTTGTGACCTTGACATTACATCCCTGTGTTCTGACCTTGACATTACATCCGTGTGTTGTGACCCTGACATTACATCCCTGTGTTGTGACCTTGACATTACATCCTTGTGTTGTGACCTTGACATTACATCCATGTGTTGTGACCTTGATATTACATCCATTTGTTGTGACCCTGACATTACATCCATGTGTTGTGACCTTGACATTAAATCCATGTGTTGTGACCTTGACATTACATCCATGTGTTGTGACCTTGATATTACATCCATTTGTGTTGTGACCTGACATTACATCCATGTGTTGTGACCTTGACATTAAATCCATGTGTTGTGACCTTGACATTACATCCCTGTGTTGTGACCTTGACATAACATCTCTGTGTTGTGACCTTGACATTACATCCTTGTGTTGTGACCTTGACATTACATCCTTGTGTTGTGACCCTGACATTACATCCTTGTGTTATGACCTTGACATTACATCCATGTGTTGTGACCTTGACATTACATCCCTGTGTTGTGACCCTGACATTACATCCATGTGTTGTGACCCTGACATTACATCCATGTGTTGTGACCCTGACATTAGATCCCTGTGTTGTGACCTTGACATTACATCCCTGTGTTGTGACCCTGACATTACATCCATGTGTCGTGACCCTGACATTATATCCATGTGTTGTGACCTTGACATTACATCTCTGTGTTGTGACCTTGACATTACATCCCTGTGTTGTGACCCTGAGATTACATCCATGTGTTGTGACCTTGACATTACATCTCTGTGTTGTGACCTTGATATTACATCCATGTGTTGTGACCCTGACATTACATCCATGTGTTGTGACCCTGACATTACATCCATGTGTTGTGACCTTGACATTACATCCTTGTGTTGTGACCCTGACATTACATCCCTGTGTTGTGACCTTGACATTACATCCATGTGTTGTGACCTTGATATTACATCCATGTGTTGTGACCTTGACATTACATCCCTGTGTTGTGACCCTGACATTAAATCCATGTGTTGTAACCCTGACATTACATCCCTGTGTTGTGACCCTGACATTAAATCCATGTGTTGTGACCCTGACATTACATCCCTGTGTTGTGACCTTGACATTACATCAATGTGTTCTGACCTTGACATTACATCCCTGTGTTGTGACCCTGACATTACATCCATGTGTTGTGACCTTGACATTACATCCATGTGTTGTGACCTTGACATTACATCCCTGTGTTCTGACCTTGACATTACATCCCTGTGTTGTGACCCTGACATTACATCCCTGTGTTGTGACCTTGACATTACATCCATGTGTTGTGACCTTGACATTACATCCATGTGTTGTGACCTTGATATTACATCCATTTGTTGTGACCCTGACATTACATCCATGTGTTGTGACCTTGACATTAAATCCATGTGTTGTGACCTTGACATTACATCCATGTGTTGTGACCTTGATATTACATCCATTTGTTGTGACCCTGACATTACATCCATGTGTTGTGACCTTGACATTAAATCCATGTGTTGTGACCTTGACATTACATCCCTGTGTTGTGACCTTGACATAACATCCCTGTGTTGTGACCCTGACATGACATCCCTGTGTTGTGACCTTGACATTGCATCTCTGTGTTGTAACCCTGACATTATATCCCTGTATCGTGACCCTGATATTACATCTTGATTACGTGACTGACGTTACATTCCTTTGATGTGATCCCAACATCTGGACAAGTGTGACAAACATGCAAACAGATGCATGCACACACAAGTATGCACACACAAACACATACATACCTGAACTTACACATGTGTTCCAGACTGACCCGGTACCGCAACCATGGTGTAGTGGTCAGAGTGTCCAAATATGGTACTTGTCGTTCCCTGCCTGGCGCTCGGCATTAATGGGTATAACAAGGACTGGTCGGCTCGGAGTCAGTATAAAGTGTCTGAGTAAGATATTCATGCCTAACTGCGATATGGTATCTCAGTGAGCTAGCACTATTAAACTAGTACAAGCAGCCACACCTACACGCATGCACTTCGTCACAAATATTGCTGAGTGCGGCGTAAAACTAAACTCACTCACTTTGTCATATGAGCCAAATATCCTTAAGTGCGACGTTAAATCCCATTTCACCTCACCCACCACCAGACTGAACCCCTCATCTTATCTTTGCAGATGGGATGCTCCAACATCCGATATGGAGTGGGCGTTACGGCAGAAGTTGGAATGGTAAGATGTAGACAGTTGTTGTGTCCGGACAGTGCGGCCTATCTGTTGTTTGCTCAAGACAGTCGGATAACTGTCTTATGGCTTTAATGTATATGAATCTACCATAAAATATCCTATTCGCCATGTTTAGATAGAACCAAAAACCTTCTGCTCTGAGGTCGGATGCCATATGACCAGAGAGGTTAAACATCTTGTTAGGAATTTTAAGTGTTGTTTGGTCACTAACAAAAGATGAGATACCCCTTTTGCAGCTAGTTGATGACATTCTGTATGTACCAGCATGCAAATCAGTTTTGTGTGTTGAGAATCTGACTTGTCTTCCAGGATTGCAAGAACCTTGGTGCCCGCAGCGTGTGTGTCATGACGGACAGCAACCTGGTTGACCTGTCCCCAGTCAAGATGACCCTGGAGTCTCTCAACAGAGAGGGCATCCCCTACAAGGTGTATGACAAGTGCCGTGTTGAACCCACAGATGAGAGGTGAAATTTCAGTCCCTCTTAATCAGTTTACTGCCTTGAATATCCTGTCACTGACCGGTGACTGATCCAGCTTATCTGAGGCGCTGAGGGTGGAGAGTTGGTGTGCCAGAAATCAAGGCTAATTTCTTATCATTCCCATACTCGTAGGTTTTGTGGAAAACATTTGGGACCAGCATCACTTCTTGCTCATGGAGCTGACACTCTCTCACTCACTCACTCACTCACTCACTCTCACTGATTATTCTGACAGGTCTACATTCTAACTTAAGTATGTAAAACGTTCTATCCTGTTTACAGTTACCCTTTCTATCCTGTTTACAGTTACCCGTTCTATCCTGTTTACAGTTACCCGTTCTATCCTGTTTACAGTTACCAGTTCTATCCTGTTTACAATTACCCTTTCTATCCTGTTTCTACAATTAACCTTCTGCCATCTTCACAGTCAAACATTTGCATTGTTTCCAGTTTCAAAGATGCCATCAGGTTTGCGAAGGAGGGTGACTTTGACATGTACCTGGCGGTAGGGGGTGGGTCCGTCATGGACACATGCAAGGCTGCCAACCTGTACGCCACCAACCCCAGCGCTGACTTCCTCGACTACGTGAATGCACCGATCGGGAAAGGCCTGCCCGTCACACACACACTGAAACCATTGATAGCTGGTGAGTGGAAGAAGGTGTTCCATGTGTTGGCAGTGATGTTGTCTGTGGTTTTCTACTGTGGTGGAGCCAAAGACTCACTACAGGACTCGTCACACAAATCATTTCGCTGCATCTCACCTAACGACATGACCTCATCTGATCTCAACTAACGACATGACCTCATCTGATCTCACCTAACGACATGACCTCATCTGATCTCACCTAACGACATGACCTCATCTGATCTCAACTAACGACATGACCTCATCTGATCTCACCTAACGACATGACCTCATCTGATCTCACCTAACGACATGACCTCATCTGATCTCACCTAACGACATGACCTCATCTGATCTCACCTAACGACATGACTTCATCTGATCTCACCTAACGACATGACCTCATCTGATCTCAACCTAACGACATGACCTCATCTGATCTCACCTAACGACATGACCTCATCTGATCTCACCTAACGACATGACCTCATCTGACCTCATCTCACCTAACGACATGACCTCATCTGATCTCACCTAACGACATGACCTCATCTGATCTCACCTAACGACATGACCTCATCTGATCTCACCTAACGACATGACCTCATCTGATCTCACACTAACGACTAACACATGATCTCACCTCATCTCATCTGATCTCACCTAATGACATGACCTCATCTGATCTCACCTAACGACATGACCTCATCTGATCTCACCTAACGACATGACCTCATCTGATCTCACCTACCTCATCTGATCTCACCTAACGACATGACCTCATCTGATCTCACCTAATGACATGACCTCATCTGATCTCACCTAACGACATGACCTCATCTGATCTCACCTAACGACATGACCTCATCTGATCTCACCTAACGACATGACCTCATCTGATCTCACCTAACGACATGACCTCATCTGATCTCACCTAACGACATGACCTCATCTGATCTCACCTAATGACATGACCTCATCTGATCTCACCTAACGACATGACCTCATCTGGCCTGGATTTCTCGAAACAAACTTAAGTTTTTACTCAAATATCAAACTGAGTTTCACAATTTGAAACAGCTGAATTTTTAACTCAACTGCATTTTCAAAATATAAAAGCCCAAACAACTTAAGCAATCTACCCACCAAACTCAAATTGTCTTCTATAGTTTGAGTTTAATAGCAATTTCAGTTCATTCTGTGGAATGCATTTTCCTGCGTTTTCTCAGATTTGAGTAAAAACTCAAACCTAAGTCAAAACTCAGACTTAAGTTTGTTTCGAGAAATCGGGGCCTGATCTCACCTAACGACATGACCTCATCTCATCTCACCTAACGACATGACTTCATCTGATCTCACCAAGGTCATCCATAATGTTTGCTCATGCTGTTAACCACCGGTTCATCTGAAGCAGACTCATGTCAATGACACACAGGTTGTCATGACGTTAGAGTTCAACAACTATTCCTCCATGTCCTATAACTCCCTCACTCCCACACTCTCAGTCACTCACAGTTGTCACTCCCATACTCTCAATCACTCACAGCAGTCACTCCCATACTCTCAATCACTCACAGCAGTCACTCTCAATCACTCACACTCCCATACAATCACTCACAGCAGTCACTCCCATACTCTCAATCACTCACAGCAGTCACTCCCATACTCTCAATCACTCACTCCCATACTCTCAATCACTCACAGCAGTCACTCCCATACTCTCAATCACTCACAGCAGTCACTCCCATACTCTCAATCACTCACAGCAGTCACTCCCATACTCTCAATCACTCACAGCGGTCACTCCCATACTCTCAATCACTCACAGCAGTCACTCCCATACTCTCAATCACTCACAGCAGTCACTCCCATACTCTCAATCACTCACAGCAGTCACTCCCATACTCTCAATCACTCACAGCAGTCACTCCTATACTCTCAATCACTCACAGCAGTCACTCCCATACTCTCAATCACTCACAGCAGTCACTCCCATACTCTCAATCACTCACAGCAGTCACTCCCATACTCTCAATCACTCACAGCAGTCACTCCCATACTCTCAATCACTCACAGCAGTCACTCCCACACTCACAGCAGTCACTCCCATACTCTCAATCACTCACAGCAGTCACTCCCATACTCTCAATCACAGTCACTCCCATAGCAGTCACCCTCAATCACTCACAGCAGTCACTCCCATACTCTCAATCACTCACAGCAGTCACTCCCATACTCTCAATCACTCACAGCAGTCACTCCCATACTCTCAATCACTCACAGCAGTCCCTCCTCAATCACTACTCTCAATCACTCACAGCAGTCACTCCCATACTCTCAATCACTCACAGCAGTCACTCCCATACTCTCAATCACTCACAGCAGTCACTCCCATACTCTCTCAATCATCACTCACAGCAGTCACTCCACTCATACTCTCAATCACTCCACAGCAGTCAATCCCATACTCTCAATCACTCACAGCAGTCACTCCCATACTCTCAGTCACTCTCACAGCAGTCACTCCCATACTCTCAATCACTCACAGCAGTCACTCCCATACTCTCAATCACTCACAGCAGTCACTCCCATACTCTCAATCACTCACAGCAGTCACAGCTCCCCCATACTCTCAATCACTCACAGCAGTCACTTCCCACACTCACACTCCCACAGCAGTCACTCCCATACTCTCAGTCACTCACAGCAGTCACTCCCATACTCTCAATCACTCACAGCAGTCACTCTCTCATACTCTCAATCACACTCACAGCAGTCACTCCCCATACTCACAATCACTCACAGCAGTCACTCCCTTACTCTCAATCACTCACAGCAGTCACCCCATACTCTCAATCACTCACAGCAGTCACTCCCATACTCTCAATCACTCACAGCAGTCACTCCCATGCTCTCAATCACTCACAGCAGTCACTCCCATACTCTCAATCACTCACAGCAGTCACTCCCATACTCTCAATCACTCACAGCAGTCACTCCACAGCAGTCACTCAGTCACTCACACTCACAGCAGTCACTCCCATACTCTCAATCACTCACAGCAGTCACTCCCATACTCTCAATCACTCACAGCAGTCACTCCCATACTCTCAATCACTCAGCAGCAGTCACTCCCATACTCTCAATCACTCACAGCAGTCACTCCCATATCTCTCTCAATCACTCTCACAGCAGTCACTCCCATACTCTCAATCACTCACAGCAGTCACTCCCATACTCTCAATCTCTCACAGTCAGCTCCCACTCATGCTCTCAATCACTCACAGCAGTCACTCCCATACTCTCAATCACTCACAGCAGTCACTCCCATACTCTCAATCACTCACAGCAGTCACTCCCATACTCTCAATCACTCACAGCAGTCACTCCCATACTCTCAATCACTCTCTCAAGCAGTCACTCCCATACTCTCAATCACTCACAGCAGTCACTCCCATACTCTCAATCACTCACAGCAGTCACTCCCATACTCCACTCATACATAGTCACCCCATACTCTCAATCCTCACAGCAGTCACCCCCATACTCTCAATCACTCACAGCAGTCACTCCCATACTCTCAATCACTCCACAGCAGTCATACTCCCATATTCTCTCAATCACTCACAGCAGTCACTCCCATACTCTCAATCACTCACAGCAGTCACTCCCATACTCTCAATCACTCACAGCAGTCACTCCCATGCTCCTCAATCACTCACAGCATCACTCCCATACTCAGTCACTCACACTCCTCTCAATCATACTCTCAATCACTCACAGCAGTCACTCCCATACTCTCAATCCCATACTCACAGTGATCACTCAATCACTACCTCAATCACTCACAGCAGTCACACTCCCATACTCTCAATCACTCACAGCAGTCAGTCACTCCCATACTCTCAATCACTCACAGCAGTCACTCCCATACTCTCAATCACTCACAGCAGTCACCCATACAGCAGTCACTCCCATACTTCTCAATCACTCACAGCAGTCACTCCTTATACTCTCAATCACTCACAGCAGTCACTCCTATACTCTCAATCACTCTCACAGCAGTCACTCCCATACTCTCAATCACTCACAGCAGTCACTCCCATACTCTCAATCACTCACAGCAGTCACTCCCATACTCTCAATCACTCACAGCAGTCACTCCCATACTCTCAATCACTCACAGCAGTCACTCCCATACTCTCAATCACTCACAGCAGTCACTCCCATACTCTCAATCACTCACAGTAGTCACTCCCATACTCTCAATCACTCACAGGAGTCCCTCCCATACTCTCAATCACTCACAGCTGTCATTCCCATACTGTCAGTGACTCACAGGGCTCACTCCCACACTCTCAATCACTCACACTGACACAATGATAGGGGAGTCAATCATTTTTGCCTTCCCTCTCGCCGTAGCTCATGTGCTCACTCAATCAGTACCTTGATAACAGTTTTCTCACACTCAATTACTCGTTGTTCAGTCACTCGATTACTCATTGTTTCACTCTGAGTGAGTAATTGAGTGACTCAACAATTAGTAACTGAGTGTGAGAACAATGAGTAACTTTTTGGTCACTCACTCACTAACCCAATGAGTCCTTCAGACCAGTGTGTTCTGTGTTACCAGTGACCACAACAGCTGGTACCGGCAGTGAGACGACGGCGACCGCTGTGTTTGATTTCCTGGAGCTGAAAGCTAAGACAGGTCTGTCATTCGTCTTTCACTAGGGGTCAAATCTTTAGTAGCCATTTCATTTGCACTTGGCTAGTAATTCATTTTCAGTTATACCCCAGTGTTGTGCTTGTCATACAGGTATTTCCCAGTGTCATGTTTGTCATACAGGTATATCCTAGTGTTGTGTTTGTCGTTTGTCATACAGCTATATCTTGTGTTATGTTTGTCATACAGGTATATCCTAATGTTGTGCTTGTCATACAGCTATATCCCAGTGTTGTGCTTGTCATACAGGTATATCCCTGTGTTGTGTTTGTCATACAGCTATATCCCTGTGTTGTGCTTGTCATACAGGTATATCCCTGTGTTGTGCTTGTCATACAGGTATATCCCTGTGCTGTGTTTACAGCCATATCAGTTATATCCCCTGTGTTGTGCTTGTCATACAGCCATATCCCAGTGTTGTGCTTGTCATACAGGTATATCCCTGTGTTGTGTTTATCATACAGGTATATCCCTGTGTTGTGCTTGTCATACAGGTATATCCCTGTGTTGTGCTTGTATCATACAGCTATATCCCTGTGCTGTGCTTGTCATACAGGTATATCCCCGTGTTGTATTGTGTTGTGCTTGTCATACAGCCATATATCCCTGTGTTGTGCTTGTCATACAGCTATATCCCTGTGTTGTGCTTGTCATACAGGTATATCCCTGTGTTGTACTTGTCATACAGGTATATCCCTGTGTTGTGTTTGTCATACAGGTATATCCCTGTGTTGTGCTTGTTATACAGGTATATCCCAGTGTTGTGCTTGTCATACAGCTATATCCCTGTGTTGTGCTTGTCATACAGGTATATCCCTGTGTTGTGTTTATCATACAGGTATATCCCTGTGTTGTGCTTGTCATACAGCTATATCCCTGTGTTGTGCTTGTCATACAGCTATATCCCAGTGTTGTGCATGTCATACAGCTATATCCCTGTGTTGTGTTTATCATACAGGTATATCCCTGTTCTGTGTTTGTCATACAGGTATATCCCTGTGTTGTGCTTGTCATACAGGTATTTCTCTGTGTTGTGCTTGTCATACAGGTATTTCCCAATGTCATGTTTGTCATACAGGTATATTCTAATGTTGTGTTTGTCGTTTGTCATACAACTATGTCTTGTGTTATGTTTGTCATACAGGTATATCCCAGTGTTGTGCTTGTCATGCAGGTATATCCCAGTTTTGTGCTTGTCATACAGGTATATCCCTGTGTTGTGCTTGTCATACAGGTATATCCAAGTGCTGTGCTTGTCATACAGTTATATCCCAGTGTTGTGCTTGTCATACAGGTATGTCTTGTGTTATGTTTGTCATACAGCTTTACCTCTGTGTTATGTTTGTCATACAGGTATATATCTGTGCTGTGTTTGTCATACAGCTATATCCCAGTGTTGTGCTTGTCATTCAGGTATGTCTTGTGTTATGTTTGTCATACAGCTTTACCCCTGTGTTATGTTTTGTCATACAGGTATATATCTGTGTTGTGTTTGTCATACAGGCATTTCCCAGCGTGCACTGCGCCCGACTCTTGGCATCGTGGATCCTCTTCATCTGAACACCTGTCCTGAGCGTGTGATGGCCTACAGTGGCATTGATGTCTTGTGGTTAGTCACATGATCTTGCTGTTGCGTGTTTCTGTGGTCTTGCAGTTGTGTGTTGCTGTGGTCTTGCTGTTGTGTGTTGCTGTGGTCTTTCTGTTGTGTGTTACTGTGGTCTTGCTGTTGTGTGCTACTGTGGTCTTGCTGTTGTATGTTACTGTGGTCTTGCTGTTGCATGTTACTGTGGTCTGTCTGTTGTGTGTGACTGTGGTCTTGCTGTTGTGTGTTACTGTGGTCTTGCTGTTGTGTGTTACTGTGGTCTTGCTGTTGTGTGTTACTGTGGTCTTGCTGTTGTGTGTGACTGTGGTCTTGCTGTCGTGTAGTACTGTGGTCTTGCTGTTGTGTGTTACTGTGGTCTTGCTGTTGTGTGTTACTGTGAAGTTGTTGTGTTTTACTTTGGTCTTGCTGTCGTGTAGTACTGTGGTCTTGCTGTCGTGTAGTACTGTGGTCTTGCTGTTGTGTGTTACTGTGGTCTTGTGTTGTGGTGTTGCTTGTGTGTGTCTTGCTTGTGTGTTTACTGTGGTCTTGCTGTTGTGTGTTACTGTGGTCTTGCTGTTGTGTGTTACTGTGGTCTTGCTGTTGTGTGTTACTGTGGTCTTGCTGTTGTGTGTTACTGTGGTCTTGCTGTCGTGTGTGCTGCTGTGTTACTGTGGTCTTGCTGTTGTTGTGTTACTGTGGTCTTGCTGTTGTGTTACTGTGGTCTTGCTGTTTGTGTGTTACTGTGGTCTTTGCTGTTGTGTGTTACTGTTACTGTGTCTTGCTGTCGTGTGTTACTGTGGTCTTGCTGTTGTTGTGTTACTGTGGTCTTGCTGTTGTGTGTTACTATGGTCTTGCTGTTGTGTGTTACTGTGAAGTTGTTGTGTGTTACTGTGGTCTTGCTGTTGTGTGTTACTGTGGTCTTGCTGTTGTGTGTTACTGTGGTCTTGCTGTTGTGTGTTACTGTGGTCTTGCTGTTGTGTGTTACTGTGGTCTTGCTGTTGTGTGTTACTGTGGTCTTGCTGTTGTGTGTTACTGTGTGTCTTGCTGTTGTGTGTTACTGTGGTCTTGCTGTTGTGTGTTACTGTGGTCTTGCTGTTGTGTGTTACTGTGGTCTTGTTGTTGTGTGTTACTGTGGTCTTGCTGTTGTGTGTTACTGTGGTCTTGCTGTTGTGTGTTACTGTGGTCTTGCTGTTGTGTGTTACTGTGGTCTTGCTGTTGAGTGTTACTGTGGTCTTGCTGTTGTGTGTTACTGTGGTCTTGCTGTTGTGTGTTACTGTGGTCTTGCTGTTGTGTGTTACTGTGGTCTTGCTGTTGTGTGTTACTGTGGTCTTGCTGTTGTGTGTTACTGTGGTCTTGCTGTTGTGTGTTACTGTTGTGTTACTGTTAATTGTGTGTTACTGTGGTCTTGCTGTTGTGTGTTACTGTGGTCTTGCTGCTGTTGTGTTACTGTGGTCTTGCTGTTGTGTGTTACTGTGGTCTTGCTGTTGTGTGTTACTGTGGTCTTGCTGTTGTGTGTTACTGTGGTCTTGCTGTTGTGTGTTACTGTGGTCTTGCTGTTGTGTGTTACTGTGGTCTTGCTGTTGTGTGTTACTGTGGTCTTGCTGTTGTGTGTTACTGTGGTCTTGCTGTTGTGTGTTACTGTGGTCTTGCTGTTGTGTGTTACTGTGGTCTTGCTGTTGTGTGTTACTGTGGTCTTGCTGTTGTGTGTTACTGTGGTCTTGCTGTTGCGTGTTACTGTGGTCTTGCTGCTGTGTGTGTGGTCTTGCTGTTGCTGTTGTATGTTACTGTGGTCTTGCTGTTGTGTGTTACTGTGGTCTTGCTGTTGTGTGTTACTGTGGTCTTGCTGTTGTGTGTTACTGTGGTCTTGCTGTTGAGTGTTACTGTGGTCTTGCTGTTGTGTGTTACTGTGGTCTTGCTGTTGTGTGTAATTGTGGTCTTGCTGTCGTGTGTTACTATGGTCTTGCTGTCTTGTAGTACTGAGGTCTTGCTGTTGTGTGTTACTGTGGTCTTGCTGTTGTGCGTTACTGTGGTCTTGCTGTTGTGTGTTACTGTGGTCTTGCTGTTGTGTGTTACTGTGGTCTTGCTGTTGAGTGTTACTGTGGTCTTGCTGTTGTGTGTTACTGTGAAGTTGCAGTTGTGTGTTACCGTACTGTGGTCTTGCTGTCGTGTGTTACTGTGGTCTTGCTGTTGTGTGTTACTGTGGTCTTGCTGTTGTGTGTTACTGTGAAGTTGCAGTTGTGTGTTACTGTTAAGTTGCTGTTGTGTGTTACTGTGAAGTTGCAGTTGTGTGTTACTGTGAAGTTGCAGTTGTGTGTTACTGTTAAGTTGCTGCTATGTGTTACTATGCAGTTACTGCTGTGTATTACTGTGGTTTTGCTGTTGTGTGTTACCGTGAAGTTGATGCTGTGTGTTACTGTGGTCTTGCTGTTGTATGTTACTGTGAAGTTGTGTGTTTCTGTGTTGTTACTGTTGACTGTTACTGTGGAGTTGTTGCTATATGTAATGGTGAAGTTGCTGTAATGCGAGATGAAGTAACTGTTGACAGCCATACCCTGGAGAGCTACACAAAGCAAGACTTGCTTCCACTTGCTGTTGTGTGCTACTGTGGTCTTGCTGTTGTGTGTTACTGTGATCTTGCTGTTGTGTTACTGTGATCTTGCTGTTGTGTGTTACTGTGGTCTTGCTGTTGAGTGTTACTGTGGTCTGTCTGTTGTGTGTTACTGTGGTCTTGCTGTTGTGTGTTACTGTGAAGTTGTTGTGTGTTACTGTGGTCTTGCTGTTGTGTCTTACTGTGGTCTTGCTGCTGTGTGTTACTGTGAACTTGCAGTTGTGTGTTACTGTTAAGTTGCTGCTATGTGTTACTATGAAGTTACTGCTGTGTATTACTGTGGTTTTGCTGTTGTGTGTTACTGTGAAGTTGCTGCTGTGTGTTACTGTGGTCTTGCTGTTGTGTGTTACTGTGAATTTGCTGTTGTGTGTTGCTGTGAAGTTGCTGTTGTGTTTTACAGTGAACTTGCTGCTGTATGTTTCTGTGAAGTTGTGTGTTTCTGTGGAGTTACTGTTGACTGTTACTGTGGAGTTGTTGCTATATGTAATGGTGAAGTTGCTGTAATGCAAGATGAAGTAACTGTTGACAGCCATGCCCTGGAGTGCTACACAAATTTGAGTTACACAGAGAGAGATCGCCCCAGCAACCCCCTACTGCGCCCTGCCTACCAAGGGTTTAACCCAATCAGTGACATCTGGGCACAGCATGCACTCCGCATGACAACCAAATATATGAAGAGGTGGGTTAAGTGCTGTTTTCTTCTTTCATGGATTTACATGTCAGATCACCAATGGTTGGTTGGCTGCATGACAGTTTGTAAGGTTTATCACAACTCATAGCACCCTCTCATGGAGATAACTGCTTGTACACCACTTCCAGTTGTCTGATGCATGACTCTAGTAGCCAGAGGAACTTTACAGCAGTTAGATTCATCATTTAAGCTAGATTTAGAAACTTCTGGTTCCTCCCCAATGAATCCTGCATCACTCCTGCCACTGACCTGGGGTTCCCTGGACACTGGCAATCGTCAACAGTTCTGGTTTGTTGGTTCCTGTTCCATAATGACAGGCAGTGAAACATTGAAGTCACTGCCACACTCAAACACTATACATTACAGACGCTGCATCATAGTTCACAAACAAACATAAATGACATGAAGAACAGCACAGCTGTATGATAAGCAGAATCAATACAATTGGCAGAAATAATTGTCTGCAGAGATGAATCAACCTTCCTTAGGTTATAGGCACATTATGGCACTATTGTATGCAGTCCATGCACACTGATCCTCCTCTTTTATAAGAGTATAGTTTGACGTTAGGTTTTGGCTTATGTATTGTATTATATGGGATAATAGTTTGACATTGTGTGAGGTCGAATAATTGCTACAACAATTGATGGATGTTGTTTGATGTTAATCTCTGCTTCTCAGAGCTGTATACGACCGTGGTGATGAAGAGGCGCGGTCTTCCATGCATCTTGCCAGCTCCTATGCTGGAATTGGCTTTGGCAATGGAGGAGTGCATCTGTGGTAAGTTCGCTAACTATTTTAAGATGCAATCTGTGTCTACCTAGGTTCAATCTGTGACACATGTCTACCTAGATGCAAATCTGTGACACATGTCTACCTAGCTGCAATCTGTGACACATGTCTACATAGCTGGAATCTGTGACAATTATCTACTTAGCTGCAATCTGTGAAACATGTCTACCTAGCTGCAATCTGTGACACATGTCAACCTAGGTTCAATATGTGACACATGTCTACCTAGATGCAATCTATGACACATGTCTACCTAGCTGCAACATGTCACACATGTCTACGTAGCTGCAATCTGTGACACATGTCTACCGAGATGCAATCTGTGACACATATCTACCTAGATACCATCTGTGACACATGTCTATCTAGATGCAATCTGTGACACATGTCTACCTAGATGAAATCTGTGACACATGTCTACGTAGGTTCAATCTGTGACACATTTGTACCTAGCTGCAATCTGTGACACATGTCTACCTAGGTTCAATCTGTGACACATGTCTACCTAGGTTCAATCCGTGACACATATCTACCTAAATGCAATCTGTGACATATGTGTACCTAGGTTCAATCTGTGACACATGTCTATCCAGATGCAATCTTTAACACCTGTCTACCTAGATGCAATCGGTGACACATGTATCTCTAGCTGCAATCTGTGAAACATGTCTTTCTAGCTGCAGTCTGTGATACATTACTTTCTAGCTGCAATCTGTGACACATATCTACCTAGCTGCAATCTGTGACACATATCTACCTACGTTCAAACTGAGACACATGTCTTTCTAGCTGCAATCTGTGACACATGTCTACCTATATGCAATCTGTGACACATGTCTACGTAGATGCAATCTGTGACACATATCTATCTAGATGCAATCTGTGACACATATCTACGTAGATGCAATCTGTGACACATGTCTACCTAGTTGCAATCTGTGACACATATCTATCTAGATGCAATCTGTGACACATATCTATCTAGATGCAATCTGTGACACATAACTCTCTAGATCTCTGTGACACATGTGTACTAGCTGCAATCTGTGACACATGTCTACCTATGCGCAATATGTGACACGTGTCTACGTAGATGCAATCTGTGACACATATCTATCTAGATGCAATCTGTGACACATATCTACTAGATGCAATCTGTGACACATATCTACCTAGATGCAATCTGTGACACATATCTATCTAGATGCAATCTGTGACACATATCTATCTAGATGCAATCTGTGACACATATCTACCTAGATGCAATCTGTGACACATATCTACGTAGATGCAATCTGTGACACATATCTATCTAGATGCAATCTGTGACACACATATCTATCTAGATGCAATCTGTGACACATATGTATCTAGCTGTAATCTGTGACACATGTCTACCTATGCGCAATATGTGACACGTGTCTACGTAGATGCAATCTGTGACACATATCTATCTAGATGCAATCTGTGACACATATCTATCTAGATGCAATCTGTGACACATATCTATCTAGATGCAATCTGTGACACATGTCTACGTAGATGCAATCTGTGACACATATCTATCTAGATGCAATCTGTGACACATATCTATCTAGATGCAATCTGTGACACATATCTACGTAATGCAATCTGTGACACATATCTATCTAGATGCAATCTGTGACACATATCTATCTAGATGCAATCTGTGACACATATCTACCTAGCTGCAATCTGTGACACATGTCTACCTAGCTGCATGTGACAATATGTGACACGTGTCTACGTAGATGCAATCTGTGACACATATCTATCTACATGCAATCTGTGACACATATCTATCTAGATGCAATCTGTGACACATATCTATCTAGATGCAATCTGTGACACATATCTACGTAGATGCAATCTGTGACACATATCTATCTAGATGCAATCTGTGACACATATCTATCTAGATGCAATCTGTGACACATATCTATCTAGCTGCAATCTGTGACACATGTCTACCTAGATGCAATCTGTGACACATGTCTACGTAGATGCAATCTGTGACACATATCTATCTAGATGCAATCTGTGACACATATCTATCTAGATGCAATCTGTGACACATGTCTACCTAGCTGCAATCTATGACACATGTCTACCTAGCTGCAATCTGTGACACATATCTACGTAGATGCAATCTGTGACACATATCTACGTAGATGCAATCTGTGACACATATCTACGTAGATGCAATCTGTGACACATATCTATCTAGATGTAATCTGTGGCACATGTGTACCTAGATGCAATCTGTGACACATATCTATCTAGATGTAATCTGTGACACATGTCTACCTAGGTGCAATATGTGACACGTGTCTACGTAGATGCAATCTGTGACACATATCTATCTAGATGTAATCTGTGACACATATCTATCTAGCTGTAATCTGTGACACATGTCTACCTATGCGCAATATGTGACACGTGTCTACGTAGATGCAATCTGTGACACATATCTATCTAGATGTAATCTGTGACACATATCTATCTAGATGTAATCTGTGGCACATGTGTACCTAGATGCAATCTGTGACACATATCTATCTAGATGTAATCTGTGGCACATGTCTACATAGCTGCATTCTATGACACATGTCTACATAGCTGCATTCTATGACACATGCCTACCTAGCTGCAATCTGTGACACATATCTACGTAGATGCAATCTGTGACACATATCTACGTAGATGCAATCTGTGACACATATCTACGTAGATGCAATCTGTGACACATATCTATCTAGATGTAATCTGTGGCACATGTGTACCTAGATGCAATCTGTGACACATATCTATCTAGATGTAATCTGTGGCACATGTCTACATAGCTGCATTCTATGACACATGTCTACCTAGCTGCAATCTGTGACACATATCTACCTAGATGCAATCTGTGACACATGTGTACCTAGCTGTAATCTGTGACACATGTCTACCTAGATGCAATCTGTGACTCACTTCTACCTAGCTGCAATCTATGACACATGTCTACCTAGATGCAATCTGTGACACATGTCTACCTAGGTTCAATCTGTGACACATGTCTCCCTAGGTTCAATCTGTGACACATGTTTCCCTAGGTTCAATCTGTGACACATGTCTACCTAGGTTCAATCTGTGACACATGTCTACCTAGGTTCAATCTGTGACACATGTCTACCTAGGTTCAATCTGTGACACATGTCTCCCTAGGTTCAGTCTGTGACACATGTCTACCTAGGTTCAATCTGTGGCACATGTGTACCTAGCTGCCATCTGTGGCACATGTCTACCTAGATGCAAATCTCTGACACATGTCTACCTAGGTTCAATCGGTGACACATGTCTACCTAGCTGCCATCTGTGGCACATGTCTACCTAGGTTCAATCTCTGACACATGTGTACCTAGCTGTAATCTGTGACACATGTCTACCTAGGTTCAATCGGTGACACATGTCTACCTAGGTTCAGTCTGTGACACATGTCTACCTAGGTTCAATCTGTGACACATGTCTACCTAGCTGCCATCTGTGACACATGTCTACCTAGATGCAATCTGTGACACATATCTATCTAGATGCAATCTGTGACACATATCTATCTAGATGCAATCTGTGACACATATCTACGTAGATGCAATCTGTGACACATATCTACCTAGATGCAAATCTGTGACACATGTCTACCTAGGTTCAATCTGTGACACATGTCTACCTAGGTTCAATCTGTGACACATGTCTACCTAGGTTCAATGTGTGACACATGTCTACCTAGGCGCAATCTATGACACATGTCTACCAAGATAAAATCGGTGATGCATATCTACCTAGATGGATTCTGTGACACATGTCTACCTAGATGTATTCTGTGACACATGTCTACCTAGATGCAAACTATGACACATGTCTCCCTAGGTTCAATGTGTGACACATGTCTACCTAGGTAAAGTATGTGACACATGTCTACCTATGTTCAATCGGTGACACATGTCTACCTAGGTTCAATCTGTGACACATGTCTACCTAGGTTCAATCTGTGACACATGTCTACCTAGGTTCAATCTGTGACACATGTCTACCTAGGCGCAATCTATGACACATGTCTACCTAGCTGCAATCTGTGACACATGTCTACCTAGGTTCAATGTGTGACACATGTCTACCTAGGTTCAATCTGTGACACATGTCTACCTAGGTTCAATCTGTGACACATGTCTACCTAGGTTCAATCTGTGACACATGTCTACCTAGGTTCAATCTGTGACACATCTGTAACTAATTTGTTTGGCTTGTGTTGCAGCCATGGCATGTGCTATCCGATCTCCAGCCAGGGGAAGAAGTTTAAGTCCAAGGACTACAGCCAGGACTATGCTCTCATTGTAAGTGACGCTAGTATGATCTGTTTGTAGGTTGTGTGCCATGCTCTGATTATAGGTGATACTGCTATTCTTTGTTTGTAGGTGAAACTACTATGCTCCTTTGTAACAAACTTTGAACAATATTGTTTTTGTGTTGGACTTCGTTTGAGGTCTTGACTTGAGTTTCTCTTTGTCAGCCTCATGGTCTTGCAGTCATCATCACGGCACCTGCTGTGTTTGAGTTTACGGCCCCCGCATGCCCCGACCGGCACATCAAGGCTGCCGAATGTCTGGGTGAGCTCAATGTTATACTTTTATATCATTCCTTAATGATTAAACTGGAGAACAATCTGTTGAAGATAAAGGTGCATATTGCCAGCTCAATAAACATGTTATTTAAATCTTACTATATCATCTATATAATGGTGTCAGTATAGTTCCCCCATACACGGGAGATCTAAATGTAACATGATGTAGTAGGTGTAGATGTTTTATGTCTGTGATGTAGGTGTTGATGTTGTAGTCTGTGATGTAGGTGTTGATGTTGTACACTGTGATGTAGGTGTTCATGTTGTAGTCTCTAATGTAGTAGATAGAGACGTAGTAGTCTGTGATGTAGGTGTTGAAGTAGTCTGTGTTGTAGGTGTTGAAGTAATCTGTGATGAAGGTGTTGATGTTGTAGTCCGTGATGTAGATGTTGATATCTGTGATGAAGGTGTTGATGTTGTAGTCTGTGATGTAGGTGTTGATGTTGTAATCTGTGATGTTGTGTTGATGTCTTCTGTGATGTTGGTGTTGATGCTGAAGTCTGTGATGTAGGTGTTGATGTACTCTGTGATGTAGCGTCTGGATGTAGGTGTTGATGTACTCTGTGATTAAGGTGTTAATGCTGAAGTCTGTGATGTAGTTGTTGATGTTGTCTGTGATGTAGGTGTTGATGTAGTCTGTGATGAAGGTGTTGATGTTGTAGTCTGTGATGTTGGTGTTGATGTTGTAGTCTGTGATGAAGGTGTTGATGATGTAGTCTGTGATGAAGGTGTTGATGTAGTAGTCTGTGATGTAGTTGTTGATGTTGTAGTCTGTGATGTTGGTGTTGATGTCTTCTGTGATGTTGGTGTTGATGCTGAAGTCTGTGATGTAGGTGTTGATGTTGAAATCTTTGATGTAGGTGTTGATGCTGAAGTCTGTGATGTCGGTGTTGATGTTGTCTGTGATGTAGGTGTTGATGTACTCTGTGATGTAGGTGTTGATGCAGTAGTCTGTGATGTCGGTGTTGATGTAGTAGTCTGTGATGAAGGTGTTGATGTAGTAGTCTGTGATGTTGGTGTTGATGTTGTAGTCTGTGATGAAGGTGTTGATGTTGTAGTCTGTGATGTAGGTGTTGATGTTGAAGTCTTTGATGTAGGTGTTGATGTTGTAGTCTGTGATGTAGGTGTTGATGTTGTAGTCTGTGATGTAGGTATTTATGTTGTAGGTGTTGATGTACGCAATGTTAAGCGTGGGGATGCTGGACGTGTGCTGTCAGACAAATTGAGGGAAATAATGCATGATTTGGCCACCCCAAACGGACTCACAGAGCTTGGTTTCCAGTCTCAGGATGTTCCGAGCCTTGTAAAGGGAACCATGCCACAGGTAGATAAATATACACAGTCAGGGTACCATGCCACAGGTAGATACATATACATATCCAGGGCACCATGCTACAGGTGGGCACATACACAGTAGTAGCAGCACCATGCTACAGGTGGATACATACACATTCAGGGGAACATGCTACAGGTGGGTACATACACATTCAGGGCACCATGCTACTGGTGGGCACATACACATTCAGGGCATCATGCTACAGGTGGGTACATACACATTCAGGGCATTATGCTACAGGTGGATACATACACATTCAGGGCACCATGTTGCAGGTGGATACATACACATTCAGGGCACCATGCTACAGGTCGGTACATACACATTCAGGGCACCATGCTACAGGTGGATACATACACATTCAGGGCAACATGCTACAGGTGGGTACATACACATTCAGGGCAACATGCTACAGATGGATACATACACATTCAGGGGAACATGCTACAGGTGTATACATACACATTCAGGGCAACATGGTACAGGTGTATACATACACATTCAGGGCGCCATGCTACAATCGGATACAAACTCATTCAGGGCATCATGCTACAGGTGGGTACATATACATTCAGGACACCATGCTACAGGTGTATACATACACATTCAGGGCGCCATGCTACAATCGGATACAAACTCATTCAGGGCATCATGCTACAGGTGGGTACATTTACATTCAGGACAAAATGCTACTGGTGGGTAAATACACATTCAGGGCATCATGCTACAGGTGGGTACATATACATTCAGGGCACCATGCTACAGGTGTATACATACACATTCAGGGCATCATGCTACAGGTGGGTACATATACATTCAGGGCATCATGCTACAGGTGGGTACATACACATTCAGGGCATCATGCTACAGGTGGGTACATACACATTGAGGGCAACATGCTACAGGTGGGTACATACACAAGCAGGACATCATGCTACAGGTGGGTACATACACATTCAGGGCACCATGCTACTGGTGGGCACATACACATTCAGGGCATCATGCTACAGGTGGGTACATACACATTCAGGGCATTATGCTACAGGTGGATACATACACATTCAGGGCACCATGTTGCAGGTGGATACATACACATTCAGGGCACCATGCTACAGGTCGGTACATACACATTCAGGGCACCATGCTACAGGTGGATACATACACATTCAGGGCAACATGCTACAGGTGGGTACATACACATTCAGGGCAACATGCTACAGATGGATACATACACATTCAGGGGAACATGCTACAGGTGTATACATACACATTCAGGGCAACATGGTACAGGTGGATACATACACATTCAGGGCGCCATGCTACAATCGGATACAAACTCATTCAGGGCATCATGCTACAGGTGGGTACATTTACATTCAGGACAAAATGCTACTGGTGGGTACATACACATTCAGGGCATCATGCTACAGGTGGGTACATATACATTCAGGGCACCATGCTACAGGTGTATACATACACATTCAGGGCGCCATGCTACAATCGGATACAAACTCATTCAGGGCATCATGCTACAGGTGGGTACATTTACATTCAGGACAAAATGCTACTGGTGGGTAAATACACATTCAGGGCATCATGCTACAGGTGGGTACATATACATTCAGGGCACCATGCTACAGGTGTATACATACACATTCAGGGCATCATGCTACAGGTGGGTACATATACATTCAGGGCATCATGCTACAGGTGGGTACATACACATTCAGGGCATCATGCTACAGGTGGGTACATACACATTGAGGGCAACATGCTACAGGTGGGTACATACACAAGCAGGACATCATGCTACAGGTGGGTACATACACATTCAGGGCAACATTCTACAGGTGGGTACAAACACATTCAGGGCATCATGCTACAGGTGGGTACATACACATTCAGGGCAACATGCTACAGGTGGATACATACACATTCAGGGGAACATGCTACAAGTGTATACATACACATTCAGGGGAACATGCTACAATCGGATACAAACTCATTCAGGGCAACATGCTACAGGTGGGTACATACACATTCAGGGCACCATGCTACAGGTGTATACATACACATTCACGGGAACATGCTGGATACATGCTACATTCAGTGGAACATGGTACAGGTGGATACATACACATTCAGTGGAACATGCTACAGGTGGGTACATACACATTCAGGGCAACATGCTACAGGTGGATACATTCACATTTAGGGCAACATGCTACAGGTGGATACATACACGTTTAGGGGAACATACTACAGGTGGATACATACACATTCAGGGTACCATGCTACACGTGGGTACTTACAAATTCAGGGCAACATGCTACAGGTGGATACATTCACATACAGGGCACCTTGCTACAGTTGGGTACATACACATTCAGGGGAACATGGTACAATGGATACATACAAATTCAGGGGAACATGCTACAGGTTAGAACATACACATTCAGGGCAACATGCTACAGTCGGATACATACACATACAGGGCACCATGCTACAGTTGAGCACATACTCATACAGGACAACATGCTACAGGTGGGTACATACTCATACAGGGCAACATGCTACAGGTGGGTACATACACATTCAGGGCACCATGCTACAGGTTGGATACATACACAGCTGTGGCACCATGCTACAGGTGCGTACATGCACATTTAAGGCTCAATGCTACAATTGCATACATGCACATATTGGGTTCCATGCTACAGGTGCGTTCATACACATTCAGGGCAACATGCTACACGTGATTACATATAAATTCAGGGCACAATGCTATAGGTGGGTGCATACATAGTCAGGGCACCATGCTACAGTCGGATACATACACATTCAGGGCACCATGCTACAGATGGATACATACACATTCAGGGCACCATGCTACAGGTGGGTATATACACATTCAGGGCACCATGCTACAGGCAGATACATACACATTCAGGGCACCATGCTACAGTCGGATACATACACATACAGGGCACCATGCTACAGGTGGGTACATACACATTCAGGGGAACATGGTACAAGTGGATACATACAAATTCAGGGGAACATGCTACAGGTTAGTTCATACACATTCAGGGCAAAATGCTACAGTTGGATACATACACATACAGGGCACCATGCTACAGTCGGATACATACACATACAGGGCACCATGCTACAGTTGGGCACATACCCATACAGGACAACATGCTACAGGTGGGTACATACTCATACAGGTCACCATGCTACATTTGGGTACATACCGATACAGGACAACATGCTACAGGTGGGTACATACTCATACAGGGCACCATGCTACAGTTGGGTACATACCCATACAGGACAACATGCTACAGGTGGGTACATACACATTCAGGGCACCATGCTACAGGTTGGATACATACACAGCTGTGGCACCATGCTACAGGTGCGTACATGCACATTTACGGCTCAATGCTACAATTGCATACATGCACATATTGGGCTCCATGCTACAGGTGCGTTCTTACACATTCAGGGCAACATGCTACACGTGATTACATATAAATTCAGGGCACAATGCTATAGGTAGGTGCATACATAGTCAGGGCACCATGCTACAGGTGGATACATACACATTTAGGGCACCATGCTACAGTCGGATACAAACACATTCAGGGCACCATGCTACAGTCGGATACATACACATTCAGGGCACCATGCTACAGGTGGATACAAACACATTCAGGGCACCATGCTACAGTCGGATACATACACATTCAGGGCACCATGCTACAGGTGGGTATATACACATTTAGGGCAGCATGCAACAGTCGGATACATACACATTTAGGGCACCATGCTACAGTCGGATACAAACACATTCAGGGCACCATGCTACAGATGGATACATACACATTCAGTGCACCATGCTACAGGTGGATACAAACACATTCAGGGCACCATGCTACAGTCGGATACATACACATTCAGGGCACCATGCTACAGGTGGGTACATACACATTTAGGGCACAATGCTACAGCTCGGATACATACACATTTAGGGCACCATGCTACAGTCGGATACAAACACATTCAGGGCACCATGCTACAGTCGGATACATACACATTCAGGGCACCATGCTACAGGTGGGTATATACACATTCAGGGCACCATGCTACAGTCGGATACATACACATTCAGGGCACCATGCTACAGATGGATACATACACATTCAGGGCACCATGCTACAGGTGGATACATACACATTCAGGGCACCATGCTACAGTCGGATACATACACATTCAGGGGACCATGCTACAGATGGATACATACACATTCAGGGCACCATGCTACAGGCAGATACATACACATTCAGGGCACCATGCTACAGGCAGATACATACACATTCAGGGCACCATGCTACAGATGGATACATACACATTCAGGGGACCATGCTACAGATGGATACATACACATTCAGGGCACCATGCTACAGGTGGGTATATACACATTCAGGGCAACATGTTACAGTCGGATTCATACACATACAGGGCACCATGCTACAGTCGGGTACATACACATTCAGGGGAACATGGTACAAGTGGATACATACAAATTCAGGAGAACATGCTACAGGTTAGTTCATACAGATTCAGGGGAAAATGCTACAGTCGGATACATACACATACAGGGCACAATGCTACAGGTGGGTACATACACATACAGGGCACCATGCTACAGGTGGGTATATACACATTCAGGGCAACATGCTACAGTCGGATACATACACATACAGGGCACCATGCTACATGGTACAAGTGGATACATACAAATTCAGGGGAACATGCTACAGGTTAGTTCATACACATTCAGGGCAAAATGCTACAGTCGGATACATACACATACATGGCACCATGCTACAGTTGGGTACATTCAACTTCAGGGCACCATGGTACAGATGGGTAGATAGTCAGGGCACCATGCTACCGTCGGGTACATACAGTCAGGCACCATGCTACAGGTGTGAACATAGTGAGGGCACTATGCTACAGTTGGGTACATACACATTCATGGCACAATGCTACAGGTGTGAACATAGTCAGGGCACCATGCTACAGTCGGATACATACAGAGTCAGGCACCATGGTACAGGTGTGAACATAGTCAGGGCACCATGCTACAGTCGGGTACATACACAGTCAGGGCACCATGCTACAGGTTGGATACATACACAGCTGTGGCACCATGCTACAGGTGCGTACATGCACATTTAAGGCTCAATGCTACAATTGCATACATGCACATATTGGGTTCCATGCTACAGGTGCGTTCATACACATTCAGGGCAACATGCTACACGTGATTACATATAAATTCAGGGCACAATGCTATAGGTGGGTGCATACATAGTCAGGGCACCATGCTACAGTCGGATACATACACATTCAGGGCACCATGCTACAGATGGATACATACACATTCAGGGCACCATGCTACAGGTGGGTATATACACATTCAGGGCACCATGCTACAGGCAGATACATACACATTCAGGGCACCATGCTACAGTCGGATACATACACATACAGGGCACCATGCTACAGGTGGGTACATACACATTCAGGGGAACATGGTACAAGTGGATACATACAAATTCAGGGGAACATGCTACAGGTTAGTTCATACACATTCAGGGCAAAATGCTACAGTTGGATACATACACATACAGGGCACCATGCTACAGTCGGATACATACACATACAGGGCACCATGCTACAGTTGGGCACATACCCATACAGGACAACATGCTACAGGTGGGTACATACTCATACAGGTCACCATGCTACATTTGGGTACATACCCGATACAGGACAACATGCTACAGGTGGGTACATACTCATACAGGGCACCATGCTACAGTTGGGTACATACCCATACAGGACAACATGCTACAGGTGGGTACATACACATTCAGGGCACCATGCTACAGGTTGGATACATACACAGCTGTGGCACCATGCTACAGGTGCGTACATGCACATTTACGGCTCAATACTACAATTGCATACATGCACATATTGGGCTCCATGCTACAGGTGCGTTCTTACACATTCAGGGCAACATGCTACACGTGATTACATATAAATTCAGGGCACAATGCTATAGGTAGGTGCATACATAGTCAGGGCACCATGCTACAGGTGGATACATACACATTTAGGGCACCATGCTACAGTCGGATACAAACACATTCAGGGCACCATGCTACAGTCGGATACATACACATTCAGGGCACCATGCTACAGGTGGATACAAACACATTCAGGGCACCATGCTACAGTCGGATACATACACATTCAGGGCACCATGCTACAGGTGGGTATATACACATTTAGGGCAGCATGCAACAGTCGGATACATACACATTTAGGGCACCATGCTACAGTCGGATACAAACACATTCAGGGCACCATGCTACAGATGGATACATACACATTCAGGGCACCATGCTACAGGTGGATACAAACACATTCAGGGCACCATGCTACAGTCGGATACATACACATTCAGGGCACCATGCTACAGGTGGGTACATACACATTTAGGGCACAATGCTACAGTCGGATACATACACATTTAGGGCACCATGCTACAGTCGGATACAAACACATTCAGGGGACCATGCTACAGTCGGATACATACACATTCAGGGCACCATGCTACAGGTGGGTATATACACATTCAGGGCACCATGCTACAGTCGGATACATACACATTCAGGGCACCATGCTACAGATGGATACATACACATTCAGGGCACCATGCTACAGGCAGATACATAACATTCAGGGCACCATGCTACAGTCGGATACATACACATTCAGGGGACCATGCTACAGATGGATACATACACATTCAGGGCACCATGCTACAGGCAGATACATACACATTCAGGGCACCATGCTACAGATGGATACATACACATTCAGGGGACCATGCTACAGATGGATACATACACATTCAGGGCACCATGCTACAGGTGGGTATATACACATTCAGGGCAACATGTTACAGTCGGATTCATACACATACAGGGCACCATGCTACAGTCGGGTACATACACATTCAGGGGAACATGGTACAAGTGGATACATACAAATTCAGGAGAACATGCTACAGGTTAGTTCATACAGATTCAGGGGAAAATGCTACAGTCGGATACATACACATACAGGGCACCATGCTACAGGTGGGTACATACACATTCAGGGCAACATGCTACAGTCGGATACATACACATACAGGGCACCATGCTACATGGTACAAGTGGATACATACAAATTCAGGGGAACATGCTACAGGTTAGTTCATACACATTCAGGGCAAAATGCTACAGTCGGATACATACACATACATGGCACCATGCTACAGTTGGGTACATTCAACTTCAGGGCACCATGCTACAGATGGGTAGATAGTCAGGGCACCATGCTACCGTCGGGTACATACAGTCAGGCACCATGCTACAGGTGTGAACATAGTGAGGGCACTATGCTACAGTCGGGTACATACACATTCATGGCACAATGCTACAGGTGTGAACATAGTCAGGGCACCATGCTACAGTCGGATACATACAGAGTCAGGCACCATGGTACAGGTGTGAACATAGTCAGGGCACCATGCTACAGTCGGGTACATACACAGTCGGGGCACCATGCCACAGGTGGGCACATACACAGTCATTGGAAAATGCTACAGGTGGGAACATTCGGTCGGATACAAACACATTCAGGGCACAATGCTACAGGTGGGAACATTCAGTCAGTGCACCATGCTACAGGTGGTTACATACACAGCCAGGGCACCATGCTACAGGTGGGTACATACACAGTCAGGGCACCATGCTACAGGTGGGTACATACACATTCAGGGCACCATGTTACAGGTGTGAGCATAGTCAGGGCACCATGCTACAGTCGGGTACATACACAGTCAGGGCACCATGTACAATATAAGTTGTTCACTGGTCACGAGGGGGGCATGGGTTGATGTACCCTCGATATTTGTTTAGGGAACATAAACAATGTTAACATCGGTAATTTCCGTACATCATACGTGATTCAATGTTATTCGAGATAAATAATTACTACCACGAAGTACCAAATGAGTTGCCATTGACAGCGGGGTACATTGAAATGTACATTGCTTGTAAGCGGGGTACACTGAAAATAATAGAAGAGCGGTCAGCCAATCAGAAAGCGACATTTATGTGTGAGGTAAGATAAAGGGTGGTATTACTTTGATTCAAGGGACTTTACTGTGACTTTGGGTTTGGGACCCTCTCATCAACTGTCGTGATCTGGAGCCAAAGTAAATGCCTTCATGTGATTCTGTTTCATGTTTCAGCACCGATTAACAAAGCTTTGCCCAAGACCCTTTCAAGAGGAGGACATCGCGACATTGTTGGAGAAATCAATGAAAGTGTTCTAGTTGTTGCTCAATGCTTATATTCACACTGTAACCAGTCAGGACAAACCAGTGGAATGAGAAATAACATTACACAGATCGATATCCTAGCTCAACAACGGAAATTAAGATTTTGACCACTTGACCAGTTAACTTGGCTCAATCTGGCTTTTTTAATGTTTATAGTCAACATAAAGAGACTATCTGTTATTGTATATGCAGAGACAACGTGAAGCACCTTGATGCATGTGGTAGACGCGTGGACAAGAACTACCTCTCTGGCAGCCAGTATGTGCTTGCATATCACACGATTGGAGGACTGTTGGCTGAAGATGATGTACATTTTCACATCATCCAAAACAGGGCATTTTGTAGAATTAAAGTGACCTCTTTAAAAGTGTTAAGGTCATTGCAAGGTCATGGAGGTTACCATGGAGGTTACCACAAATATATGAAGTGATGGGTGTGATACCTTATCTCTACAGTTTTGAAACGTAGAAAACAGACTTGCCCAATAGACTACCTAATTATCCAAGCAATATTTTTTCATGACTGGTTGTCCTTGTAGATGAAGGTCAAACAGTATGAAGTAGCTGTTAAAAAGGCTTATGTACCCAAGATTTTGATTAAACTAGATCTTGATCGTGTCACATTTTTGGTGACCTCAGTATATGTCATCGTGTTATAAACTACCCTTTCTGTGTGTGGATGGCGTATGTGTGTAGAGTGTGTGTTTGTCTTGAGAACTGGAACAACTGGAGGGTAAGCATCAGATGTGGTAAAGCTCTGCCGCCTCCTCCATATGCTGCTGCTTGAACTTACTGTGTCATATACTATGTCCTCATATACTGTTGACTTGTTGATTTTTGAATGATTTTTATTAACAAATTTCATATAAACAAGAAATTGTTTATGTGTGTTTGTCTTTTGTCAGTCTTGTAGTGGATTCAGTGGCCCCATCGTTATCACCCCATCGTCAACAAAATGACTATTTGCTCTGGAGAATATCCTTCAACTATATTCCTCCCAATAAATGTGGCTACTTCCTTGCAGCAGGAGGCTCTAATAATATTGTCAACACAAGATGAATAACACAAGGCAAAAATGTAATGAATGTAATTTATTACAGAATTTAACAAAAAGGAAAATTAAAATAAGAATTCCCCATGATCTGTCTCCAAGAAATCTCTCTCCCATACAGAAACCTTTTCAACTTTTGCATGCCTTCTCGATAGTGGAATAAGCTTTCCCCGGTCCAACAGCTTCCGACATACATAACAGGAAACTTCCTATCCACATATTCTTGTAAACGCACTGCTCCAATACCAACATCAGATGCATCTGTCCTCAGTAAAAATGGTTTATCCAAATCTGGCAACTTCAATACTAATGCACTCGCCATGTGCCTCTTCAGCGTTAGGAACGCTTCTTCCTGACTCATCCCATACAACTACGTTGGGCTTACCTTTCTTTGTTAAATTTGTCAAAGGAGCTGCGATAGCTGCAAAGTTAGGAATGAACCGCCTGTAGTAGCTTGTTAAGCCAATCAAAGATCTCACCTGTTTCTTTGTTGTTGGCTTAGTCATCTCCAGAATTGCCATCAGCTTCTTAATGTCAGGAGTTAAGTTGCCTTGTCCAACAACATGACCTAAATATGGCAAAGTATGATACCCAATCATTACCTTAGATGGTCCGGCCGTGAGGTTGCATTTTTGCGCAAACGACTGAAACAGCCCTCAAACTCACTATGTGTTCGTTCCATGACCCCGTTCCTTCCAGTACATCATCAATGTAACTATCTACATGATCTACACCTCTCAGGACCTTCCTCATTAACCTAGTGAACACTGCAGACGAATTGACAACACCAAAGGGCGTAACTGTCCACTTATACAACCCATCTGGAGTAACACATGCTGTGTACACCTTACTTTCCTTGCCCATCGGAATCTGCCAATAAGCTTTACTGATATCAAATTGTACTTGCACTTACTTAGCTTTACGAATAAACTTTCTGCCAAAGTTGCCGGTTCTGAATCAAAGACTTAAATCACATTTATCCAGCGATAATCTGCATAGAACCGATATAAACCATCAGGCTTTTTCACTAACACTATAGGTGAAGCATAAGGAGAAAAAGAAGGTTCAATAAACACACACACACCTCTCTCTCTCTAACATAGCTGTACTTCCGCAGCAACTGTCTCTCTCATGTGATGAGGTAACGGATATGGACGTGACCTGCCCTGATCTGAAGAAGTTAACCTAATCTTATACTCCATGTCTGTAGTCCTACCTGGCAAATCCGTCAAAACATCTGAAAACTCAGTCAATAACTCTCTGACCTCAGGCTTCTGACCTTCTGTTAAATCTGAAGAAATATTCACATAAAGGTAAGTCTCATTAGATTTCAAACTCGGTGAAACAATCTTAGGCAACTCCCCTTCTGCATCTTAATCTACATCATCAACACCAACATCGACCATGCCTGTACAAACATACTGCGGGAGACTGACACCCACATCACATACAGCAGCATCACAAATAGAGACCCTTTCAACATACTTCTTGAGCAAATTATGGGTTTTCACCTTATCTCCAACTCTATGCCGATAATTGCCGACACCAAAACTCTCCTCTATCACAAAAGGCCATCTCCACTGCAACAAGAACTTGTTGTGGTTAGTAGGTATATGGTTACTGCAGCCTTGGTTTATCCTGCCCAGGAATCTACCCAATATATGGTTACTGCAGCCTTGGTTTATCCTGCTCCGGAATCTACCCAGTATATGGTTACTGCAGACTTGGTCTATCCTGCCCAGGAGTCTACACAGGATATGGTTACTGCAGGCTTGGTTTATCGTGCCCAGAAACCTACCAGGTATCTGGTTACTGCAGGCTTGGTTTATCCTGCCAAGGAATCTGCCCAGCATATGGTTACTGCAGCCTTGGTGTATCCTGCCCAGAAACCTACCCTATATCTGGTTCCTGCAGCCTTGGTTTATCCTGACAAGGAATCTACCCAATATATGGTTACTGCAGGCGTAGTTTATCCTGCCAGGGACACACCCAGTATATGGTTACTGCAGCCCTGGTTTATCCTGTCCAGAATTTTACTAAGTATATGGTTACTGCAGCCCTGGTTTATCCTGTCCAGAATTTTACTAAGTATATGGTTACTGCAGACTTCGATTATCCTCCCAAGGGACACACCCAGTATATGGTTACTGCAGAGCTGGTTTTATCGTGCACAGGAATCTACCCAGTATATGGTTACTGCAGACTTGGTTTATCCTCCAGGAATCTACCAGTATATGGTTACTGCAGACCTGGCTTATCCTGCCTAGGAATCTAACCAGTATATGGTTAATGCAGACTTGCTTTATCCTGCACATGAATCTACCCAGTATATAGTTACTGCAGCCTTTATTTATCCTACCTAGGAATCTACCCTGTATATGGTTACTGCAGACTTGGTTTATTGTGCCTAGGAATCTACCCTGTATCTGGTTACTGCAGGCTTGGTTTATCCTGCAGAAATCTACCCAGCTATGGTTACTGCAGCCTTGGATTTATCTGCCCAGAAATTCTACCCTGTATATGGTTACTGCAGCCTTGGTTTATCCTGCCCAGAAATCTACCCAGTATATGGTTACTGCAGACTTGGTTTATAATGCCCAGTAATCTACCCAGTATATGGTTACTGCAGCCTTGGTTTATCCTGCCCAGGAATCTACCCAGTTTATGGTTAATGCAAACTTGGTTTATCCTGCCTAGGAATGTGCCCAGCATATGGTTACTGCAGCCTTGGTTTTTCCTACGCAGAAACCTACCCTATATCTGGTTCCTGCAGCCTTGGCTTATCCTGCCAAGGAATCTACCCAGTATATGGTTACTGCAGCCCTGGTTTATCCTGTCCAGTAATCTACCCAGTATATGGTTACTGCAGCCCTGGTTTATCCTGTCCAGTAATCTACTCAGTATATGGTTGCTGCAGCCTTGGTTTATCCTGCCAAGGAATCTACCCAGTATATGGTTACTTGGTTTATCCTGCAGCCAGTATATGGCCTTGGTTTATCCTGTCCAGGAATCTACGAAGTATATGGTTACTGCAGACGTGGTTTATAATGCCCAGGAATCTACCCAATATATGTTTTTTGCAGACTTGGTTTACACTGCCCAGGAATCTACCGAGTATATGGCTATTGAAACCTTGGTTTATCGTGCCCAGTAATCTACCAAGTATATTGCTAATGCAGACTTGGTTTACCCTGCACAGGAATCTACCCAGTATATGGTTACTGCAGCTTTTCTTTATCCTGCCAAGGAATCTACCAACAATATAAATACTGCACCCTTGCTTTACCCTGCCCAGGAATCTACCCAGTATATGGTTACTGCAGCCTTGGTTTATCCTACCCAGGAATCTACCTTGTATATGGTTACTGCAGACTTGGTTTATTGTGCCTAGGATTCTACCCTGTATATGGTTAGTGCAGGCTTGGTTTATCCTGCCTTGGAATCTCCCTAGGAAATGGTTACTACAGCCTTAGTTTATCCCGCCCAGAAACCTACCCAGTATATGGTTACTGCAGACTCGATTTATATTGCCCAAGATTCTACCCAGTATCTGGTTACTGCAGCCTTGGTTTATCCTGTCCAGTAATCTACCAAGTATATTGTTACTGCAGTCTTGGTTTACTCTGCACAGAAATCTACCCAGTATATGGTTATTGCAGCCTTGGTTTATCCTGCCCAGGAATCTACCCAGTATATGGTTACTGCAGCCTTGGTTTATCATACCCAGGAATCTACCCAGTTTATGGTTAATGCAAACTTGGTTTATCCTGCCAAGGAATCTGCCCAGCATATGGTTACTGCAGCCTTGGTTTATCCTGCTCAGAAACCTACCCAGTATATGGTTACTGCAGACTTGATTTATAATGCCCAAGATTCTACCCTGTATCTGGTTACTGCAGCCTTGGTTTATCCTGCCCAGTAATCTATCAAGTATATGGTTACTGCAGACTTGGTTTATCTGCACAGGAATCTACCCAGGTATATGGTTACTGCAGACTTGGTTTATCCTGCCCAGGAATCTACCCAGCATATGGTTTATCCTGAATGTGCCCAGGTGGTTACTCCTGGTTTTTCCTACGCAGAAACCTACCCTATATATGGTTCCTGCAGCCTTGGCTTATCCTGCCAAGGAATCTACCCAGTATATGGTTACTGCAGCCTTGGTTTATCCTGTCCAGGAATCTACCCAGTATATATGGTTACTGCAGACTTGGTTTATCCTGTCCAGTAATCTACCCAGATATGGTTACTGCAGCCCTGGTTTATATGGTTACTGTATATGGTTACTGCAGCCCTGGTTTATCCTGTCCAGTAATCT